TTAAGTAAAATATATTTTCAGTATCTTTGTATCAACATTTTTTCCTATTTTTTCTTAGAAATATTTGAGAATCCTTACTTATTTAAGCTACTAAATAGCGAATCAAGAACAGGTCCAATCCTTTGACCCATTTAAATAATATTTCCCCTCTGTATCTGTTTCAGTTTAGTTTTTGTGCCGCCTTCAGAAGATCATAAAAATTAAAATGATTGCCCAAACTTTGGTCGCTGCACGTGTAAAAGTTTTGTCATTATGCTGAGTAGCGCTGTCGTTAATGGGTTTCCATGTGTGTGTGTATATATCTCCCTCACAAACCCTGGGCCAGGCCGATTGCCATTGAGCTTTAATTTACAGCAGCAACATCGGCAGCGAGCAAATTGTCCTCGCACAATTGTATTGCCATAAATCAAAGGTCCCCCCGATGTGCAAGTGAGTATTTCCAACTATTCTTTATTGTTACTCACTGCGGGTAAAAGCGTAGTTAACTTAATGAACACGTTCCATTTGTAGACAAAGCCGAGCAGCAAATGAACTTTGTGTTCTAACAATGCAGCGCCGGCAATATAAAGCGGTTCTTTGACATATAAAGACAGTAAAGACGTCAAGGAGAATTCCTGCTCGGATAGCCTGCGGCGCTGTTAACTCTGTAAGCTCTGCAAACAACAGAGGCTATTGAGTGAAATGAAACAGCTGTTGTTTGTTATTCTCTGTTAGCGGCCACCATGGCGGATGAGTGATGTTACTTAGCAGCTGTTATTTAGAACAGGATATTTACTACCAAAAAAAAAAAAAACAGGACTGTTAAGACGATTTACAATCACGCAATAAGGCTTAAATTAATCCACATACATATTATTATAAGCCTGCATATTGTTCGCGATTAAATCTAAATTTTGTTTAGAACAACTTTTAAATGATTTTCCCCAACACCACCACCACCACCAGAGACCACCAGCATGTTGATTCTGTTAAATAACAATTTGAAACAATTCCCTTTGGCTTTCAAATTAAATGTAGCATGATGCCCGAGTCCAAAGCCCAACCATTTCTCATTTCCCGTTTTGCCCTGAAAATGTTCTATTATAATCGAAACTTTTTATCGGCGCACTGCGCACTTGGCAAAAGTTTTTGCATTTCGCACGAGCTCGAAATTACTTTTGTCCTGGCAGGCAAATGTCCTGCGGCCACTTGACGCATTAGCGTACTACGAACGCAATACATTTGCGGCTGTGGAAACCTCACAAAATTCCGTAATTGAAACCAGCATGGTTCAGATGGCGATTAGTTTGTCTTTTGTTGCCGGGCGGGGGGCGGCTGCTGATCAGATTTTGGGGTGGCCAAACATGGCTTACCTGCTTCCACTAATTACGCTAATTATCATTACAATTAGATGGCTAACTTGGCGCTTTTGTTGAGTCCCTCATCGGCGCATTTATTATTCAGAGAAACTCTACTCAAAAGTTTGCAACAATTCGATGCGGTTATGGGGAGACTTTTGGTGATTAATTCAATGGATTGTTAAACTCGTTAATTTAAACTTTGTTTATATTTAATTACTTAAAGTTTTTTTAAATTAGCTTATAATTTATTTAAAATATAAGGACAATTAAAAACCTCTATCAAGATTACCTGAATTTTCACAGCATAAACTTCAATCATCCGCCACTTTTGTATTAAGAAACAACAACCAAAAGGGAAAACTTTTAATGAGCCATCGAACGGAAATTTGTAAATTGAGTTTCTACTCTATGGACTTCAATGACTTGGCAGCACACACAACTTAAAAAAAAAAACACTCACCCTCATGGAACGGGGACTTACTTAACCCAATATTTCACTTAACGGCCACAAAGCCTTGAATTCAAATGGAAAGTTGACTCTCCTGGCATGCAAGTCGTCGTCCGTCGGTCGTCTGGAATGACTTTTTGACATAGTCCTATGTGTCGGCAAAAATAGGAGTCCCAAAATAACAAGGAACCTGGCTGCGGCTGCTGCTCTGACGAGGCCTCTGCTCCATGTGTCCTGGTCCCACAGAGTAAACACAATTCAATTAACTCGGCGCTCGTTGTCGGCGCTCGCTAGCTCGGTTTTTGAGGGCCATTGTTGTGTGAAAAGGCGCAGGCAGAGACCACGCTAAAATAACTGAAAACGAAAAGCCGATGATGGCTATGTGCCAGAGGCAGTAGAAGAAGAAGGGGCACGGAGAAAAATTAACTAGGAAGAGGAAGTAAGAACGAAGGAAGTCATCAATGAAATTAGATTTAGAGTCTAAAAATTTGTTAAAATTTTATTTCGAAATACTCTGCATTCTCTTTTTTATATCAGGTATTTTCTCAGTAATATTTTATATGTTTTTTTTTGTTTATATTTAAATTTTCATATAAATTAATTTGTATTTAATTTTAATTTCTTTCAGTGCAGGTGATGCATTTTCTAGGTGCAGCCACAAAAGCAGCTCGTTTGCATTATTAAAATTTTCATTTGGCAGGCTCCACTCTCTCTTTCTCGAGAAACTAAAAAGAACCAGCTAATTGACCTTTGTGAGCCAGGAAAAAGCTAAATCTTAAGCTGCTCCAAGTACAAAGTATAAATTTAACTGGTTAAAGTGTTCCTTTCCTTCCTACATTTCCTTTTACCAGGCGAGTACCCTCTTCAAGTTCTGCTCCTCGACCATTCCGCTGTTATTGGCTATAAAATAACTGTTGTATGCTTAATGAGCTAAATGCTGAAAAACTTTGACTTAACCGAGCACAACAAGCGTCAACGTTGGCTCCATTCATCATCTGCAAGAAATTTAAGCAAAGCGGCAGCTGAAGTGTAAATGTCATTGTCAGCTCCTCTTCCTGCCGCTCGCTGGCGACATCGAAGAGCTGGCTGATGCCGGATGATGAGCGGTCCAAGGGTAGTTCATCCTGTGGCCTTTGGCCTTATCCTGTAATCGAGGGGTATGATGGAGAAGTTGATTTATAAAGTTGAATAGTTATTAGTAAATATGAATAAAAATTAAACTAACTAAATATATTTTTTGTGTTTAATTTCTAGATACAATTTATTAAAAAAACGTTTCACATGTCAACCAAGGGGTATAAAAAGCTACTCTTCAGCTTCTCGTCATCATCGTTACTTGTGTTTCTTATGGCATCTTTTATTGTGCGACACAGCAGTTGGGCAGGAGCAGTCAGCGCCAGAAACGTCGGAATGGGACATCCAAAGGATGCGATGCGTGGCTGTGGCTCCGAGATGGAGAGACGCACGACTGCCGTTGACACTTTGCCATCTGTGGGTAGGAAGGAGTGGAAAAGGCGGGAAACTGGTGGCTCACCGAAAGGGTAAACGGCAGAGGCAGTGCCAAGCCAACGCTGCGGGATCGGTGGAGTGTGACTTTGATTTTCGGCCAGGACTTACCTTGAAGTAATGGCTTCATTTTCCGCCGCATACTCATGCATTTCCAGCAATGTCACGCCTGGCCGCGGTGGCTTTGTTTTCATTTTCCTGCCTTTTCCTTAGATTTGTTTTCATTTTCTTATTTTCACGACTCCTCCGACAGGCAGGCATCATCTTTAAAGTGGCAGCCGCTGTGGGCGAGGAAATCCATTCAAAGTTGTCCCTCCCTCTTGGGCTTTTCTTTTTCTCAGACTAAAAAGTCGGACGTTGACTAAAAATAACTACGGGAAATTCCTTTAAATTTAATACGTTTTTTTTTTCTGGTTTCGGGGACCTTCTTGATGGTGTTTTATTTTTAAGGACCATTTGCCGAGTGGGTAGTTTCGGGGGCCAATATTTTATATAATGTTTCAATTTGCCATCACATAGACACAGATACGATTGTGGAGGCTGGGTTTGTGTGCGTATGATTGATATCAATTTTGCTTTGATGAACGCTCCAAGGAATTGCTCCTGAGTTTATTTATTATACTTTTGGGTTGCCTATTCCCATTCCACGTCCTTCGTTTGGGAATCACATTTTTATACAATTTCCACGCCGCAAATTCGAAAAGCAGAGTTTACTTGGAGTCCCTCTGTCTTTGCGGTTTGTGGTTCTCCGGGGCGAGAGCCAGCAAAGCTGGCCCAAAACTTTGCCTCTATATACTGGAACTATATAGTATGTTTACATCTGCACGTCACACATAAATATATTTAAATCAGTCTGCCTTTTCCCAGAAGCATTTGCATATCAAAATGTGCTACATCAGAAAGGAACGAGAAATAAAATATTTACATATATGTATTTCGAAAAAAGAAAACGAGAAATGCTAGCAGAGACAAGCTGAACCATTGACACGATTTGGTCAGAGCGACAGCCGAAAATTGATTATTCCATTTATTTTCCAACACGAATTTCTTGTGCCGCCCAGGAATTAGTCATCAATTCCATAGTCATGGGTGCATGTGTGAAAAATGGACCGCCTCTCTGTTGTATTGACTAGTTGATAGGCCAAATAAATAATGGACTGTGGCTGAGAGGCTCGGGGTATCCAGCCCAATCCCTTCTTCATTGATTGCAGATTTATGCCTTGCGCACCCAACTATGCATACACAAGGATAAAGCATCAATGGATGCCTAATATTATGTTCAATTTGAACTACTTCTATAGGTTGCAAGATATTAAGGCTTAGTGCCAGTCGAAAATATTATAATGACCATAAAAACTACAGGTGTGCTTATATGGTATAAAAAAATACTTTTAAAAAATGTTTGACCCTTATTCACATCATAGGAATATTTATAAGATAATGAGATAATCCTCTCGATGATCTCCATCTAATTCGCACCACAAATAATGGCTAAAACTTTTTCTTAGTTCTATTAGTTTTATTTGCCTTTCAGTTTCTGTTCTCTTAAAATTATATTCTCTCTCATAAATCTTTAATTAATGAATAACAAAAGACTTTGATATTTTTTTAATATAACTCAAACATTTTAAACATTTTCAAAATTGTTAAAAACTAATTCAAATTCAAAATTTTTAATATTTTCTTGTTGACCTGGATACCGCTGATGTACTTTAAAGCCGGCTGTGCGGCTGGAGCTAGTGATGCCCGTGAAAGGGGCAATCCTGTTGACCTCTATAGCATGGTATTGGGTAAGCCTGTCCACGAACGAGCTGGTACCATACGTCCAGCCGGCTGTACCCCACGTGGAGCCTGTACTGCCGGAGCTGGCTGAACTGGACGTCGAGCCGGCTGTACTGCCGGAGCTGGCTGAACTGGACGTGGATCCGGGTGCACCACACGTGGACCTGGCTGAACTGGACGTGGATCCGGGTGCACCACACGTGGATCCGGCTGTACCACACGTGGATCCGGCTGTACCATACGTCGAGCCGGTTGTACCCCACGTGGAGCCTGTACTGCCGGAGCTGGCTGAACTGGACGTGGAGCCGGCTGTACTGCCGGAGCTGGCTGAAATGGTCGTGGAGCCGGCTGTACTGCCGGAGCTGGCTGAACTGGACGTGGATCCGGCTGCACCATACGTGGAGCCGGCTGTACCCCACGTGGAGCCTGTACTGCCGGAGCTGGCTGAACTGGACGTGGAGCCGACCCTACATGATGCGGAACTGGCTGTGCTACCTGTCGTGCTGCTGGAGCATCCTGTACTGCTTGAGACGTTTGCGCCTGTTGGCGTCGCACTGGCAAAATTCGACACGCATAGTGGTATCGCGTGTCCCCGGACCGAACCTCCTGCTTGCAGTAGGGGCACTGTGGGTTACGCCCCAACTGATCCCAGAGGCAATTTTTCCCAAAGATATGGCCACAAGGTAGCGAGACAAGGCGATGGTCTCCCTCGGCGTCCCACGGCGACAGGCAGATGGCGCATGTATTCTCTTCGACGATCTTTTCAAGCTGTCTGTTTAAATCCTGCATCTCGTCCTGAAAACCTTGACTCTGAAGGGATATCTCCTCGATCTGCAGAGACATCTCCTGGATCTGAGCAGTATTTTGTTGCATGACGCAGTCTAGGATGGAGTGCTGCGACTGTTCGTACTCATGTAGTTGTTGGAGCAGTGCCTCGCCCTTCGACATCTCCTGCTGCACCTGCTGCAGCAAGGAATCCCTCTCCGTGGTTAGCTTTTGGTTAGTTACGACAAGCTCATACGTCTGGCCGGGCTCGAGCAACTTTTGGCGCAGTGCGTCGCTCTTCGACATCTCCTGCTGAATCTGCTCCAGCAAAGAATACCTCTCGGCGGTCAACTCCTGATTCTCCTTGCGGATCACGTCCAGATCCCGTTTAAAGTTCTCCTCTAGCACGCCCTTGCTCACGGCTAAGAGCTCATTCTTTTTGCGTTCTTCTATGACTTCCTGGATTAGATCCGCGCGTCGCATTTGGTGGATGCTGGGTTTAGTAGTTGCAGTAGGCGGATGTTCTGCTGGTTCCGCCTCCAACTTAATACGTTTAGCGTTTCTTTCAGCCATTTGAAGTAAAATTTAAGTTCCTTGAAACAACACGAAAGCACGTGGCAAGTATTGAAAAGGTGACGCTTATAAACACAGTGTTGGGTAAGTAGATTTCGACAAAGCGATAACAATTAAAAAATAAGTCATTTTCCACTATAAAGTGGAGACATTTCGATGTTTTCTTTAACTGCTATCGATGTTTTTACAACACCACCAAAAACATAAAATTAACCATAAAACCCTAATATTAATGTCAATTTATGTTTTTTAATTTGAATTGTTTGATTTGAATTGTTACCTGTAGTCATGATATATTTATCCATAGAATCATAGAATTGTATTTTTCCTGCATTTAAATCGATAAACCCAGTCTGGTCACTTTACACTTTCTTTAGTGTTGGAAAACGACTTGTTGTAGTGCTTCATCCAATACGCAATTAATTTTGGTAACTTAACCAATTTGACGCGATTTTTCCGCGAATTTAGTTTCGATGATGCCGGAATTTCGTGGCGTGGGGCTTGGAAGCCGCCAGGGGCCAGACCCGGTTGATCACTTCCTGGAGGAACACTTGCTGTACCGGAAGCACACCGTTAGGGACCCCACGAGTCTGTTCCGCGTGGTCGCCGAACAGGTGTACGACACCCAGGTGCTGCATTACGAAGTGCGCATGGAGTGCGTTCGCTTCATGTTCCGCAAGAGACGCCTCTTCGAGCGGCAGGTGCGCGGCGACTTCGACGACTACCTGTGGCGACTGGAGAAGACGCAGACCGAGGGCACGATGCTAGAGTTGCGTGCCATGTGCTTGCTGTATGGCCGAAACGTGGTCATCTACGAGACCTTCCAATTGGGCGAGACGGTCACAATCGGAGACATCAGATACCAGCAAGACGTCTTGCGGATTTTCAAGGACTATAGTGGGCACTTCGACACCGTGTTCACCATGCCGGAGATCGCCATGGCCGCAGTTTGCCAGGCCATTTCCTATAAGCTCCTCTACCAGCAGCTGTTCCGCCTCCCAGATGTTGGTCTGGCCGTGGAGGCGATGCTGTATCCGAACACCTTCAATCAGGAAATGCAATTCGAAATGGATGCCGATCGCAACGTCATCGGTCTGCTGTGCTACAATGGCAGGACCTTCAAGCTGGACCGTCCAGAGAAGACCCGCTGCCTCCTGACTAATTACAAGACCTGCGCCTACCACAATCGCCGGCCCAACTCTCCAGTGCCCATATCGTGCGTGCGGCAGTTTGTCGCAGACGAGAGAGCTCCCTTTCCTTATGCAGTCTCCAAATCCCTGGACCCGTACACCTATCGCAATGTGGAGCTGTACTGCCTGAATGCTGCTCGTCGACAGGCCAGGAACCTGAACATTTACATGGGCGACTACGACTTTAAGGTGGGAGCCAAGTGCCAGGTGGCGTTGGACCCCAAGCAACCGCGTAAGATGTCCATCTGCCACATTCAGTACATCAACTGGGAACATACATCCAGCGTGGTTTTCTCCGAGGCCAAGGCGCAATTCCTGACCGTACCATATTCTGCGCTGCATCCAATGCCCCCTTCCGAGTTCCAGCCTTGGGATCCTCCCTACAGGTACCGGCGTCCCCGGCACAAGAAGCGCCCAAAAAAGGTTAGCACGAAGGAGCAGCAAGTGGACAAGCGGCCAGGGCCGGCTTTGCATTCGGAGGCCAAAAAGGTAACTCTTCCGTTTTCTCTTGCGATGGACCACAACGAAAATAAACCAAAGCAGCTTCCGCTTCTGCCACCGCCATCATCAGACCGAGAGAATCATTCGATTTCAATGCCATCGAACCAGAGAGCTGCACCGGCGGCTATGCCTGTTCTCCGACCACCGATGCCCATCCCCCGACAGCCGTTGCACATTCCGCGACCGCCGTTGCCCACCGTTCCTCAGCCAGTTTTCTACCCAACGCCGCCGCAGCAAGCAATTGGATCACACCAATTTATGCCAGGACAATTTCCGTTCCAGCCCCATATGATTCGAGCTCCTGTGCGTTTCTATCTCATGCCGACTCCGCCGCCACCACCTGGCGATCCAGGGACAATGCCTGGCCTGATGCCGCCGCCTTTCGTTGGTAATATTCCGCCTATGGTGGCCCAAACTTTCAATGATTTCCATCCACTTACTTACTAGACTACTAAGACTTTAAAGAGAATGCATGATATTTACTTTGTGTTAAACAATATAATTTTAAGTCGAATGCTCCACCTACTTTTTACCTTTTTTGTAACCAACTAAAAAAAAAGCTATAAGAATTTGCTCGAGTTAATAATAAATAAAGTAATTTTGTCATATATAAATGCATTTTATGTATTTAATGTTAAGCTTTATTTCAGATAAGAAAAATGTGTTATTTTATACCCCGGCAGGGTATATTCGTAATCATTTTAGTCAGAAGCTCTGAAGTGCATTGAAGGAGCTATTTTCAACCCTATAAATCATGTATATATATTCTTGATCAGCACCATTTTTTGATAAATTTAATCAATTTTCACAAAACAGCTTTCCGAATTAAAATTATGGTAGATTTTCAAGATTTTTCGAATGCATAAAGAATATATTTTTTTTATTTAATTTTTATTTATTTTTACACTTAAGTCTATTGGAAACGTTGTACGTTAGTTATAAACCCTCTTAATTCAATTCATCGCCGGATGTGGCCTCCACGGCAAGTCTCGCATCCCCGGACAAGCGACACTGCAGATTCTTATTTATATTGTCCACCATGTCGAAGGCATCGATAATCATCTGGGCCTCGCTCTGGGCCTTCTCGCTCATCTGCTCCAGACTCCGGCGCAGTTCCCTGTGCTCCCCCGTGACATCTCGCTGCTCGGCCTTCTGGTACAAGCTTGTGCGGGCAAAGAGAGCGGCTGTATTGCTGTTGCCTTGCTCCAGATGCTTCTCCAGTTCGTCGGGCTGTGGGAAGTCCATGTCCAGGGCAAAACGTCGCAGTTCCTCGTACTTGGCGTCCTGGGCTTCCTTGTCCCGGCCATAGCTGATGACCACCGCCTGGAGAACGATATCGCTGCCGGGCAGTTGGATGTAGGCAATCACGTCCTTAAAAAGGTTCTCCTGACGCCACACCGTGTGCCTGTACTGCACCACCTGGTAGACCACCACCTCCGGCTCCGGGCTGTATTGCACCAGCATCCATGTGTCGTCGGCCAGTGTGGGCTCCTCCTCAACTTCCAGGTGGTCATCGAAGGCATGGTCAAAGCTGCGGGCTTTTAGGTGCAGCAAGATCTTCTCCATGTAATGTCGCTGATCGTAGGCATACAGGACGTGTGCAATGCATCCAGGACCCAGGCTGACCAACGGTGTGGCCGACAGCTCTGGCTTGGCGCTCATCCACATCACACTGTCCGGGGAGACGAGCTTCTGGACGAGGCGCTCGCCCGATGCTTCGTTTTCTGTATATTGAACCAGCAGTTGTCTAGCATTGGCATTCTCCCGCTGCTCCTTGCTCATAGATAGCAAGGCGGCGTCCACGAGGCGTCGTTCATCGGCAGCAAGTATAAGCTTAGCCTCCACCACCATGCCATTCACCCGGAACTCCACAAAGCGGGTCATGTACTTGTCGGATACGTCAGATTCCAAGAGCTCCATTGAGTGGAGCACACAGAGCCGGGGCTGGCCATTGGGCTTGCCATTCTTCATGGATCCATCGTCGACCTCGGCCAGGAACCAGGAGAGTCGAGTAGCAGCAATGGGGCCATGGGCATTGGCCGCGGCGCCACAGTTGGCGGAGTCATCCAGGCCGCTGTCGTTGCTAGTGTTGCTCATGATGGATTTTTTGAAGTCTAGGAAACGGGCTAGTGTTGATATCTTTGCTGCTCGTGAGGAACTGATGGCTACTCCTGCGTTGCGAGATCTTTTATAGGTGGAAAAGGGCTGAGATATTGCCCGCATTACCTGGCAATTATGGCCTGCAGCTGGCCAGGATTACCAATCGTATTCTAATTGCTTACTTATTACCTGCAAGGGCGCGGATTTTCCCAATTCGCAGCTGCTAGGAAAAGGGCATTAAATGCAAAGTCCAAAAGGACATCTGTTGCAATATTTCCTAATTTTATTTACTTACCTGCGAAAGTAAAATATCCCTTAAATATTAAACTAAAGTACTAAAGTATGCATACGATTCCTGATTTTATTCGGTATTATAAAAGTTACATTGCTTGAAGTTTTCATATAAAATTAGGCTTCTATTTTTAAGATATTTAAATTTTAAAAAAGATAAATAGGGGAATGCAAGTAGCTTGCTATCTTTTAGAAATGATTTGAGCTTGAACTTCAGACCCTTCATAACTTAGACTTTGTTAGTTTAAAACTGATTTTTGCCTAGTTTTTTTTTTACGGGACTTTAAACCTTATTCTTATCCTCAGTATCCTGTCCAGAAAGCATACGAAGGAAATGCTTGGATGCCTCGCCCACTCATATCTGACTGCGACCCGGAGGTTCCTGGTGCATTGTGAACATTGCCCAGGAAAACCAGGTTGCCAGTGATAGCTCCACGGCCAATAAGGCCAGTGTTTTCGGTAGCCCCTGATGATTCCGGTCCAACGAGACTCTGATCCGACGACTTCTTGACCGATTTGAGGGCGTTGGTTAGGAAGAAGAAGCGTTCGGCCTCCCCAGCCTGTAGGCCCAGCACTCGAGTTACAAATGCCATGGCCTTCTCTTTGTCCCTGCTATCCAACTGAGTCTCACCACCCGGCTCTCGCTGTGGTACTAAGGCATCTTTAGTACTTTGCTTGTCCAATTCACAGAATGTGTGGATATCCTCGAACAATCCCAGGCTCATGGCTTCAGTTATGGCCGCTTCATTGGCAAGCAAGCAGCCCAGCACATTGCCCGTCGCCATCTCACGGATATTGATATGATAGATATTACATCCCCGCCGCGTTATGATCAGCACCACGTCCCGGAAGGGTCTGCAGTCAATTAGCTTCATTAGTTCGTCAACCAAGCTGTCAAGGACGGGCAGGTTCCCACTGTCACTGCACGATGGGCAGCCACCGGGTGACACCGCAGGATCCTTGCAAATCTTCTCCACTTTGCAGGGCTTCTCACTTAGTTTATCCTTCTCCCGAATCGTATTGTTTTCCGATATGGTCACCCTCTTGAGCTTGTCCTCCTCCTTTACTGCACACGGTTCCAGATTTTTTGGCTTGGTAAATAGGCTTACGAGTTCAGCACACAAGCGCTCGAACAAGTACCGCTCCCCTTCGGGTTTCTGAGCCGCCGCCAGGTTCTGGCTATACTCCATACTAGGATTGGGGAAGTTCTTGACAAACTGTTCCAGTACGGACTCGTAGACTTCCTTCTTTAAACTTTGACGGGAGTCACAGGGGTTTCCAACTTTATTCTCAGCCAAACAAGAAGCTGAAGAAGATTTTCTTACATTTGAATTCTTGGCCACTAGACCAACGCATTTATCGAGCATGTTTCCTGATTCTGGTTCCGTTATACATTGTTTAGTTAGGACGGACAAACAAGGTGAACATTTTTCCGGGCAAGGCGACTTGTTTTTCTCGCCTTTACAATTCTTTGGCTTGGCAAACTTCTGATTGAACTGCTGAATTAAAGTGTCGGAATCTTCCACGCACTGTAAATACATTGTTCGGGAATCTTCACAACTATTCTTCGCAGGACAAATGCCAATTGGCTTTTTAATATCCTTTTGGGAACACGCGCTTGTGGCAGATGTTTCTGTTTTGATGAATATATCTATGAATTCCTTCTTTAAAGTCTGACAATCGGTAGGCTCTTTATCGCATTTCTGGGTGGATTGATCAGCACATTTCTGGGTGGATTGCTCAGCACATTTCGGGATGGATCGCTCAGCACATTTCGCTTTGCATGCCGTTTCACATTTCTTTGGCGGTTGGTTGACACTGCAATTTGGGGGTTTGCTCGCCTTCATGGCGCATTGAAGGCTCCTAAGAGCTTGTTCCTGATTCTTCAACTTTGTTTCCAGTTTACAAACCCGATTGAGTAATTCGGGAATGCGGGAACACGGATAAGAGGCAGCGGGCTTCTCCGTTCGTGGGACTTGATCTTCAGATTGAGTATAAATGTCTTTTTTCGCAGAAGCTTCTGCTTCAGATTGATTCGAGGTCGCAAAAGAAGTAGCTGAACTCTCAGACTCCAAATTCGATCGGTTTTGTCCCTGTCCCTGTCTCTGCCTTTGTTGTTGCGGCTGCTCAAAGGCAACTGTTGATTGCTTTCTATTTGGTTTCTTTTGGCTTTTTTGTTGGTTCCTTGTTGGCTGGTTTCTCGATTGTTGGTTTCCTCTTGAATTGCTTCCCGATCGTTGGTCTCTTGCTGATTGGCCCCTTGTTCTTTGGTCTCTTGTCTGTGGGTCACTCATTGCTTGGTTTGTCGGCATCTGGCTTTTTGCCCCGGAAATTCTTGGTAGGCCCCGGTCAACCACAATAAGAGGACGCCTGAAACTCCATTTTTGCGGATGCTTTTCAGCAACTGAATCTGCGTCAGATTGTGGTTCGCATTCCTGGTTGATTATATAACTAGATGGCAAAAATCTTGTACTAACTATGTTATAGTTCGTTTTGGAGGATCTTCTTGGGTTATTTTGCAATTCCGTAAACGATGACTGAGTGGCTACATCTTTCCGACCTGAAACAGATTCCGCAGACGCCCTTGGTTCGGTTTCATTTGTGGATTTCCTTTCATTGTCCTCTGTTTGAGTGGATACTTCGCAGGTGAAAAGGGATTGTGTGGAATTCGAGGGTCCTGTGTCCATCGGGCAGCCGCATGGTGCAAATCCACCCGCAGGTATGCGACCTATATCCGACCTGCTGGACGAAACATCTGTGACGGGAGCAATAAAGGGATTAATAGGTAGCTTCTTGATCAACTACCTGGAGGAGTTTTCGGGGTATATAAGGCAGTGACTTATTAGTAAGATTTCAGTTTACAATTGGCCAGCAAACAGAACCATGGTGAGTAAAAGTCAAAGTGAATAATATAAAGAAAATCTTTAAACTAACATCTCTTTTCTCCACAGATCAACCGCCGCCAGCGCCTGGAATTCGCTCTAACCCTTCTGCCCTACGACCCGGAAACAGTGCAGCTATCCGAGGCCCAAAGGCAGGTGGTGGACATTATTGCCCGCCTTCGCACAGATGACTCTTTTACGGAGGAGGAAAGCGATGGTGATGGCAAGACTCTGGACCACCACCAAGAAGATGCCGAGGCTTTTGCGGATCGTGCCATGCGCCAGATCGAGTTGACGGACAATGGAAAGCTGAGCACTCTGGAAACTCTGACCCGGGCTGCTGAGAAGTTGCTCAAAACCCAAAATTGCAACGATGCGGTGGAGGAAGAGGAGGATCAAGACTATGACGACTTTGTCAGAGATGTGGAGACAACGCAGCTCATGAGGAACACCATCCAGACGGTCAACGAGGCGCGGATGAAGCTGATCCAGCAGTGGGAGCGCAGCAAGCGTAAGGCCCTGGATCTCCTCACCATTGAGATCGAGAAGGTACAGGAAATGGACGAGGACCAGGACCAAGATCAGGAGCAGACTTCGTCGCGCTTTGAGATGTTCCGCGAGGGAACCGAGGAGCACAACACCTCCACGCCCAAGACCAATGACGAGGACACGGTCATCGACGATGACGATGAGGAATATGTGCCAGATGGCGACGAGGGCTCGTCGTCAGCCGGGACCAAGAGAAAGCGCAGCAAGAAGCCGGTGACCTCCACGCCGAATGCCAAGCGTCCGTGTCCGGGCTTCGAGTTCGACCAGGACAATAGGTCGCCGATGGTAATGATCGGTCCGAATGGCACCAAGGTATTACGCAGCAGTCTCAGTGCCATCAATTGGGACATGACCGGACCCTCCATCACCCGCAAGCTGCTGTGCGAGATCTTCGACCGGGACACGCTGGCCCACCACACGCTCTCCGGGAAGCCGTCGCCGGCCTTCAAGGATTGCGCCCGGCCCAGCAAGCAGCAGCTGGACCCATTGAAGGTGGCCGATCTGGTCTACCTGATGACCAACAGCATGGACATGACGCCCAGGGAAGTACGCACAGCGATCACCACGAAGTGTGCCGATGAGAACAAGATGCTACGCTCCAAGCTGCAGCGCTGTCAGCGAAAGAAGAAGTAGATCCCTTTTGAGGATTCTCTAGAATGCCTATTGATATCCCTACTAAATATTTCTTAAAGTAACCTTAGTTCCGGCTCAGCCGAAAATAGCCAGTGCATCGAAAAACCAATAAAATGATCAATTTCTTACCCACAACTTGACTGGACTTTGATGTGCAGGCCAGGGAGTCGCCGCTCAGCGTCGTTTTGGGCCATTCTTTGCGACTGGAAGACATTGATGGTCACAGATAGCAACTTGCTTACGACTTATTCTTACCATCCAAATATCATTATTCGAATTTTATCAAGCTTTCTCTGCTTAATTCGCTGTGCTGCCAAACTCTTCTCGCCGCTCATATTGCAATAAATACAAATTTGGAAATAATTTTGATGTAATTTCTATTGGGTTTCCCCAATTTGAAATATGTTACGACAGTCGGAAATCATATATACAAATAATTTTTTTTTTTACAAACAGATATTTTTATTTTGTGGTGTGGTAATACTGACAAGGAAACAAGTTTCCATGATATCATGCTGGCAGCATATTTTTACCTTGACAGCTTGTCAAAAAAAAAGGAGAATTACAGTTTACGAAATGTCTGAAATATCCGGAGAAACTCCACATGGCACTGAACATTCCAGGAAGATTTATAAATGTATTTATTTTATATTCAATTTTAATATTGCAATATAAGATTTCTTATGCTTAAAAAAGATTATTATGACAATATCTTGCTTCAGTAAATAACTAACTATACTTCTTTATTTCAGCAAGCCCATAATGAATTGGGAGCAGAAATAATCGAGTATATTATATTGCCATAATTCGATTTCTGCACGCGTCGCAATCAATTTCCCAGGAACGTTTACCTCATGTTGCACAATTAACTAAGCGCATTTCAATTATTTAGCAATCATAGTATCATTCATGGGATTAATACCACACAGACCACCACTTCATCATCATGAGATGTACAGCAACAAAATGTGATAATGAAGCAGCGGCAAGATTTAAGCATTTCTTCCGCTGCCCATCGGGATATTGACTTGCTGATTATTTTTATTTGCCTGGCAAACGCTTCAATTGAGACATAAAACTATGCCGACACACACGAGAGCATAAACATTTATACACGATTAAGTGTGCTGTTTGTTTTTATGTTTGGTTTAGCGCTTCCGTTGCGGCAGCCAAGAATTCCCCCCTGTCCGATATTGCGTATACGCACTAAATGGCCCAGAATGAGAGATACAAACAGGAAGAGCGAAAACTAACGAAAACGTGGCTATGAAGGGAGCGCAAACATTTGCTGTTGTTGCTTTTGGCCAGATTAAAGTGCGCCTGGTCGGAATTCAATAAAACATTTCACCCATATGCCCAAACATACATAAATCAATGAGAAACTAATCAAAAAATCAAAAGAAAAACCCGGGGGGAATTTGTTTAGCTGGCAAAAATGAAAACTCTATGGAAAAGCAGCCATCAAATTTATCGCTGCCTTTGTTTGCAATGTATTTAAAATGCAAATCAATTAAATTAAAAGCGCAACTTTATTGCCTTCTCGCGCCATTTGAAAATTTCAATTTATGCAAATGCAACAGCAGCAGAAAAATAAAAACGAGACTACCCCAAGCCGCAAGCTTAAATGCTCATTAGGGTGCTTTGTACCAACAAAAAAAAAAAAAAAAAAGGAAAAATAAATAAACCCCTCAAACCCTAATCTTTGCGCAGTGAAGCGTATTTTGTGTCGCCTGCATCGCATTTACATTTTCGGAGGAATACGTGGGAATATCTCGGAAGCCCCAAAGCAGACCCTCAAAATGCAAAGCACATCAAGTCCGGGGGGCTTTAAGTTGCCGAATTGCATGCAATTAATTTGGACTTAGGGCCAAATCCAAGGCTAACTTTAGCATTGGCTGAAACTGAGAAAGACTTCTGCTGCAGCATTGTTATGCGCTGTTGCGTGAATTGATCCTCTTTTAATGATGCAGTCCAGTGGCAAAAATAGTAGTAATTTGGTTGTGACAGCCTCTCAAATGCCTCTTTCTGATAAGCCTTACTTTATTGTCAGGTCAGGCAAAAAGGTCTCTAGCTCTTTGTTTTTCCTTTGAAATTGAAACATATTGATTTTCTTACACACACAATGCAATTTAAATAAACTGAAAGTTGGCTCTTGCAAATATTCCGCATACGCAGCGTGGCCCCAGGCGAAGTTTTCCCCAACTCATTTTTTTCCCATTTACTTAAACTAATTACCAAGTTGTTCTTGTTGGTAACTAAAAGTCAGCAAGCAGGCAGAGGTGGTGCATTTTTTGTTAAATAAAAGCAGGAAACTTTTCAGATGAATTTGACAAAATTTTGTAGCTTTAAAAACTGCTGCGCTTAGCTGATTTGAGTCTCAGCAATTGCTGTTGCCACATGTGGGGCAACTCTTGTGGCTAATTCTGAGCTTGTTGCTCCGAGCTTGGTTTGTACGTTATGCTAAAAATTGTCAGCACCCACACACACACAAACTGTGGCCACACGATAAAACGAAGACCAAACAAGCGGCCAGGCATAAAACCACACGCTATGTAGCTCCCAGTCTCACTTGCCCGCCAGCAATTGTAAAAAAGGAGAGAAGCACCATGTAGAACATTCTGTTGCAACCCACAAGCAGTTGGCCAAGAACTGCGGGAGCTGCAGTTTAAAAAAATACAGCCACTTCTCGCCTGGCCTTCAGCCGGGGGAAGTAAGGCGAGTTTAAGCTGTGCGAGAGCTTGCCATCAATAAGTTTTTAGTACATTTATTCGATTTAGTTAGTTTGATCCTGGGTTATGAGGTTATCTTTTTTCAAGTGATAAAACAAGTTTGAGCTTGTGTAAGGTTTTAGTTGAAATTCGAGCCGAAAGCTTTAAAATAATAAAGTTAAAGGTTTAGGGAATTATTGAAGAGCAATTTCAAATGAAAACATAAAGAAACTAAGCAATAGAATTTCTATAAATAAGTAATATGATACTTTAGCTTTTTCTTTATAAGCAAAGGGTTAAGTCTATACATTTTTTAATAACCAAGTAATTTTATATTCTTGTTATTCTTTTCTTTGATTGCGACAAATCGTGGGACAGTATCGCATATCAAAGAGTCGAATTTTCGTTGGTTTGTTGGGGATTTTTTTTTTATAATTCACTCGAGTCTTGTTAAGGCTGCTGGCGGCTGGCATTTGTGTTTGTGTGCCTGTGTGTTTATGTGCTACCTCATCATCAACTTGTGCTCCTGCTCACTCCCTCTCCCTCTCCCACTCCCTCCTCCCAACTTCCGCCTCGGTCCACACACATGCAACCACTCTATCTGACTGTGGTTGTTGCTGCTGTTTGTATTTGCCATGCCATTTGCTGGGGAAATTTTTCTTGATTGCCTCGCCCTTAGCATTTTGCTTGTTTTTCGCTTATGCGTCGTCATCTTTCTTTCGCAGTTTCTGCTCCTGGTTTTTCCACTTTCCCACTTTCCTACTTTCCATTTTCTGCCGCCTGACAGTGATTTTGACATTTCACGCGCATTTGTTTGTTATGCTTTTCTGGCCAGCATTGACAGCGCACATTGGGCGAGTGGGGGAACGGAAAGGGGGTAAGGAAAGGTCAACATTTTCCTTTTTTGCATATATAAGTGCGTATGTATTCATAGAAATAGTAGCTGGGCATAATAAAAATAAAGGCTATGGTACGCAGGCTCATTAACATTTGCCAGGCACGAGGCACGTGGCGGGAATGACGCTAACTCAGTTGCTCCCCAGCGTCGCATTCGGCTTAACCAAATTGATTTTTGGCCTTGTCCTGCGAAAACAATCTGGCACCGGGCAAAAAAAAAAATATAACAACTATATATATATAACAACTCAATGTTTGCCTCGATTTGGTGTCTCTTAAGCTAAGGATTTTATGGTGATAACTTATTTAAAGATAAATATTTGTATATTTTTATTACAGAAGTGTGAATATAAATTTATACATATTTTTTTATTAAGAATTTCAATTTGAATATTTTTGTAATAAATATTACTGCTAAAAATAAACTTGAAGGACTGCAATAATATATTTCGTATAATATTTTAGAATTACAATGGTATATTAAGATCCTAGTCTTCTAGAATGTACTAAACATTCTGCATTTAAATTAAATATTAATTATTATAAATTGAATTTATTAAAATTAATTAAGACAAATATTTTTTCTCTGTAAAGGGCTATAAGCATCACACAATTTCACTCAAAACAATTATGAATGAACGGCCAGGAAAGCGCTCAAAGCCGTTTACAGAGCAGCTGTTGCTGTTGAGCGTATGTTAACGCCACAGTCAAGTGCCACAGTGCCACAGTCTCACAGCCTCAGTCGCCTTTGGGGCCCGTGGCAGTGGCAGGAATTTGTGATTCTGATTTTTAGTCCAACAACAGACGTCGAGGCGAGAGCACACGCGGCCCAAGAGCGCGCGCATGTCAAGCGAGTTGCGTTCGGTTTTCGATTCTCGTCCCCGAGCCACACATGGCGTATACGCGTTGCGGCCAGTCCCACTGCCTGCCTGCATTGAGCAAATAATGGTCAGTGGTCGTTTGCGCAGTGGTTATCGTGAGTGAGAGCTGAGCAGCAGATAATGTGTCAATAATTGAACTGGGCAATCAGCTTGGCTCCGATCAGTATGTAAAGCCTGAAATTCAACTGGAAAAAGGAACTTCACTGTAAGGATTATTTGTGCTTAGCTTAAAAATGTTGCTATAATTTTAAATTATTTAGATACAAAACATGTGACAAAACATATAAATTTAAAGACATTTTTTGTGCAATTTAAAACCATTTTGTAAAGTCCGATAATCTTTATTTTTTAAATGCGAAAAATAACCTAATGAAATCTATTAAATATTAATAACCAAGTTAGTTAGCCCGAAGATTAAAAATAATTGACATTTTCAAAAGTCATTTAATTAAATTATTAAATAAAAATATTAAAAAATGAAGGAGACAATGTAAAAATAAAACAGGAACATTGGGGTCTCCAAAAAAGGAAAACAATTTAAATAAATTTCTCCTTTATTTCATTTAACCCAATCAATTAGCTTAATAAAGATAACAAAACGAAATAGAATCCAACAAAAACAGAGGCTGAAGATAAAGCATCTCAACAAATGCAAATTAAATAAATTCAAATCGGTTCAGGCAGCCGACATATATTTAAATTTCTCAAGGACCAGGACCTTAGACACGTAGTTCGACATTCGAGTTGTCATAAGCCGGAATTCAGGGCGGATTGCATTAGGGAAGTTATCTTCTAGTGCCGCTTCTCGAATTTCCCCGGGGCTCTTGGGGGGATGCACGTGAATGCCATGCCGATGGATTTTCCGCTTCCTGCTCATATTTTTGCGGACATTTCCCCATCTTTGTTTGATTTGCATATTGCTACCTGTGCCGGAGTTTCCGAACTCACGGACGTTCGTGAAAAGTAAACAGAGGATACAACGAAATATAAAAGGCCCAAGCCGTGATAAAATAAGCGGAAAAATAGCTCAACAAAAAAAGGTGTATAAGGTGTATATCTATGTATATGAAAACATTTGCCGGAAAACAAAGGAAATTATCTGACCAGCTGCCGTGGCGTCTTTCCCGTGGGAAACCCGAGGGTCGCCGGTGACAAGTGACAGTTTATTTGTTGGTTTGTTTGTTTTTTTTTCCTTCTTTTTTTTGTCGTCAAAATATCGCCTAATTTGGCTGGCGCTTTTATTGTTTGCCCTTGGACATGGCGTCATTATCTTTGGTATTTTTATGCCTACTCTCCTCCCTGTGTTTACACACACTTTTAACGTGTTTATTCGGCCGTAACACAAACTAATTGAAACACACCGGGCGTATACTTAATGTAAGGCCCGGGGCGTGTCACGTTTCGCTTGCATCGCCTCGCAATCAGTGGACGCCTTGAAACCCACTCACATGCAATTGCAGTGCACTTGCCACGCCCGCTGCCCTGCTGTCATTTGGCACTCAATGCCAGCAGCGTAAAGCTGAAACAACAGCGGGATCCTAGCAGCCGTAGTCAAAGCCATCGCCATCGTCATCGTCATCCGGCGTAGTCGCGAGTGCGGGCTGAGTGAGCCGCTGTGCCATGGGCGGCAACTTGTTTACCTGCCTGTGTTTTAATGAAATGCAAATGCAAACACAAGCCGTGAAGTACCATGGGCGGGATACCCTTGAAAATCAGGCAAAAAATTTTGGCTACAGAAGAGGTTTCCTTTGCCTAAGGCCTGTATAGTCTCCTTGAACGATTTTAGCGGCTTTTGTACACTCTTTTTAATTTTAAATAAATTTAAAAAAATGTATAAATATAAAGACCAACGAGTTTAAACTGAAAATTTGAAAATATGTTTTGATTTATTTGTGTAGTATTTGGAAATATCATCAAAGCAACATAACCCAAAAACAAATACAAATTTATTTAAGTTTTAGTTCAATATATTTCTTAAATTGTAGCTTTTTTATTTTCTTCTTTTAATTGAATTTATGGAATATTTACCTCTATTTACAATCAAAATTTTTAAATTGCTACCATCGCAAAACCATTGCTTTAATTTCTTTTACTCTCCTCAATATTTGTATATCAAAAATGTTTATTTTCATAAGCTCGCCTAGATGGCTTTCACAAAGATTGATGGCATCCTTAGAAATAAATCGAATGAAGCCCCCAAAAGTTGTAAGTAAACAGCCCCACAGTGCGTCAGCACCTGTGCAGGCAGGTAATTTTTCTTGGCCCCGCCTGCAATGGCACTTAGTGGTAATGGGGTTACTGCCAAGGAGCCGCCGCACTCGTTTTGCTTGGGTCCTGTCCCTGATTTGCTACGCAAACACTTCAATTTCCCGTGACAGATGACAATTTCCACACTGCAGTGCAATTAGATTTAATAAATTTCCAAATCACATTTGCCTCCCGGCTGCCAGCCGCCCATTAAATATGTATTTATCATAATTTTATTCATGTTAGGCTCGAGTTTGATGCGTAAACAAATTCGCATAAATAAATTGCCGAAACATTTCTTTACGACCGTGGGCTTTGCCTGAGGGTTTTTCGGTTGAGACCATAAAAACGGATTTGAGCATAATTTCAAAAATGCCCAGAAAATACCCTGGATTTCGATTTAAAATGTTCTTTGAGCACATATTAATTTAATGGCAATGCATTAAACTAAAGACTCGCCATCGAAGGTATTGTTGGGAATATTGAACGTGGCAAACTTATGCAAAGTGCTAAAACATGTTTACTTAAGCTCCATTTTTTATGGGGGAAATCAAAAGCTGACACTTAAGTTGTTAATGGAAGTGAGATTACATGGGAAATATTATGTTAGGCCTGGAAAATGATGTTCAGTATAAGATTGAAAGTACAAAAAATATTATTACTGAGAGAAGATCATTATTAAAGTTAAGCTAATTTTATAGAACCAAAAGAAAAATAAATATTATTTTATAGCAAAAGCAAAGCTCTTTATTATATTACCTAACCTTTACGAATTAGTTTTCAAGTGAAACCCCTTGCCAAGCCTGTTTGTTGGAGCAGTCAAAGCATCATGTTACCAAGGCCAACGTCAAATGTGTTCCGTTCTCCATTTGCTTAAGCCCGACTCAAAAAGTTGAAAACTTTTCCAATTCACTTAGTTCATTAACTTGATTCATCATCTCGGCAAGTGAGTTTGGCAAACTCCACCAATGGTAATCAACTGGCATTGATTGCTCTCTCATTTTGGGCACTGCCATTGCTTGGATCGGATTCCCTTTCCCAGCAGCCTCAAGTTCGGTTTCGCATTGCAGCAGCCACTCGCTCATTGACCTTGGCCTGAGGCCGGAGAAGAATACATTTTTATTTTTTTTTTGGCCTGGGCCAGCGACAACTCTTTGGTAACATATCACTCAACGCAAGTTTTCCCCTCCCCAGACGCAGCCTTAGCCTGAGCCCGAAGTTTCCATGAATAACTTGCAAATTTCTTTGAAAATTTTTGCTCAAAGGAGGAGGAAATGAGGAAGTTTCCGCCTTTGCGTTTGACATGCAAAAGGGGTCGTAGCACAACACTTGAATTTAATTAAAAAGGATTTTGTCTTGTAAAACTCTTAGGTTGCAAGTGCAGGACATGTCTATTAGGGATGAGAAAAGCAGGACTAAATATCTATGAATAAAAAAATTAAAAAATAATACAAATTTACTTATAACAATAATTAATAAAATAGATTTACTTATAATATTTGTATAAAGTTAATCCAAACCAAATCCTGCAAAATGTTTAATATTTATTTCTGTAATAAATATCTCTTTAATGTTAAATGATCTCAAAATAAATAAATTATTCAATATTACTACAAATATCTAGCCTACATGTTCCACTGTTTGAAAAACATATATCCTTAAATACCCATTAGGGCGATTTATAAAAATTAATTTACCATTTCGGTCACCCGGCAAACATAATCATTATTCGGCTATAAATACTCCCTTTGATTTATGCTGATAACTCAATTTTGGAACTCTCTCGCCATGGCTCATATTTTATTCTGACGCCTAGCCACCCGGCTTTTTCATTAATTTATTACAGCCAGAGGCAACTGATTTCACTTTAATTCAATTTATTTACCAATACACAACGGAAACAACAATATTAACAACGACAACAGCAGCAGGACTCGTATTTATTTCATACTCGTACGTCGACGGCCCGTGGGCCATGTCAGGACGAAGTCACTTAGCTGCTTATCTCCTCGGATCCATCGGAGGAACTAAGCCAAATCGAGGGGCGGCCCTCACGCTGATGGAGTGGGCGTGGCCAGCCAGACTGTGTGTGAGTGAGAGTCACGCATTGGAAATGTATGCACGACAAATTCATTATAATTTCGTCTCCATGAAATCCTCGACGGCTCGATTTCGTACCGATTTTGGCTGCGTGCGTGCCAAGACATACGGCAAACGAATTTCCTGCTCGCTTGCGGTTGTGGTGGGCGAAGGCACACACACAGTCTGGCAGGGAGACACTTGCTGATCCAATATGAAATCAGTTTAAATGCGCCCCAATGTGTCGTTCTCGGATTATGATTGCGAACGATTGTGGCTGCCTCGAGGGCGGTTTGAAATGTAATGAAAGCTTTTCTATGAGCTCCGGAAATAGGACAAAATTAAAGTAAAGTTTCTGCTTAAATTGGTTTCATTTGTTTTACAGTAGTTTCTGGTTTTTATTTTAAAAATATTTGTATTTATATTAAAATTATATATGTTGCTTTATTTAACTAAAATCTATAATTTTCATTTTAGTCTTTGTCTATTCAATTTCAGCTTCAACAACTGTCAAAATTAAATGAATTATTTAAAATGGTTTTATATCTTTAGTTTTCATGTATCTAAAATCAGCATTGTTGGCTTTTAATTATGTTTATTCCTTGGCAAAGCCTAAATAAATAAAAGGTGTGAGAAGTATTGTCAAAAAAATGCCTCTTATCGATTGCCAAAAATGTATGCGAATGAAATAAAATACACAATATAAACTACAGCTATTGAGTATGCTAGAAACAGAGTCTCTTGTGGTAAATAATTATTTAAATAAATTCGGATCAGCGGCTGCATACATAAACACCCATTTATTCAAGCATAGAAGGAAAAAGCTGCAGAATTATGCCTTCTTTGCCATTTATATAACGTGCCCAGGGCCAGCCAAAAAGTATTCTTTATTCTTCCTGCAGCAAAAAAAAGCTCACGAATTTTCCGCCTTAGTTTTCTTCTTTTTTAAGGCAAAAAGGGTCCTGGAAAAAAAATACCCAGTTGCTTGTTCATGTGTGTAAACGGTAGCATGTGAGTCTGAGTGTGAGTATGAGCTCGGTGGTGTGGCATTATGTGCCTTGGCATTTTTATGGCACTTTAACTTTATGTTGAGTAATTCCCGGCTGAAAGGCTGGAGTCCAGAGTGCGGTGAAGTGTGGCCGAGACCATGATGACCGCTTTGTCGGGGCTATTGAATGTGTGTCGGGGCCCTCGACAGTCGCTATTGAATTTATTAATTGCTTAATCATGATCCGGTTTACAATTTTCCCCATCAGGAATACACCTCTTTCACTGGCACCTGAATGGGTTCTTTGAGTTTGCGGCAGTTATTAATTTGTTACGGATTTTGCTTTTATTCTTGTCGTTTTTAATTACATTTCTCTTTATTTTATTTTTGAAAGCAGCTTATGAAATGAATTTTAAGGTTTATGTGATGTTTTCTTAAAGACTTTTTAATGGTTTTAATTTTATTGAAATTATGTCAGCCCTCTTCTTTATTTTTCTTCTACAATATCGTGGGGAAATTCCATATTGTACTCCCGCTTCAGGGTGAACTTGAGGTCCAGCAGGCTCATCCGCTCCTTTCGGTATTGGGCCAACTTGACAACGCGCCTGGCCACGTCATTAACAAAGACATCGGCGATTTTGGCCACCATATCCACTGCCTGATCGTCCAGCACGGCGTAACGGTCGACCCTAAACACAAACTGCTTCAGGTTCAGCTCAGTGATAATCTGCATTCGGTGATTTAAATGTTTAGTGTCATTCATTGGAGGACCCAACAGTTACTCACATCGTAGTTGCTGTCCAGTAAGTTTCTCTCCTCCTCGCTGGACGACGAGTTCGATTTCACGGAGCTCACGCTGCTGGTGTCGCTGGAGCTGCTCGATGATCTGTTCGTGAGGGGACTCCCATTGCCGAACGATGAATCGCTATCGTCGCTGCTGAGGTCCATGATTTGCAATTAATTTCTTGCGGTTCGCTGCACCCTGGAGCTGCTCTAGGCGCAGAAGTGACCAGAACTACTTGAAAATTATAGGGGCAACGAGGCAAGGCATAGCCTACTTATGGTACCTTGATTTTCAATAAATCGAGCCTCCAGGCATGTTTACTTTTCAGTCGGACTCTGAGGAAGCTCGGCTGGGCCCAACTCTTTTGGCCCAGCAGCGCCCTGCCATAAATAACCAGTTTAAGCCGCGCTCTCTGCACCTGAACGTGGAAAGCTTGCCATTGTTGCCGGCTTGGCTTCCCTTTTCCGCACCGGATTTTCCTTCACGTTTTTCGTCGGTCTTGTGCTTTTGATTTATGTCCTCTCTGCTCGGCGGCGCTTTTCATTTCACATGCGGCCCGGCCGCGTCTAAATAAATATCAAAAAGCAACAAATTGTGGCCATGTCATAAACGACCTTTGCCTAAGCCCAAGACGGGGGCCAGGCGACAGCGGCGTCGCAGTCGCTTAATTTTATGCCAGGTGGGTCGGGGCAAGGTCGGCCGGAATAACAACAGCCAACACGTGCCCAGGTGTCCTGCCGGCCTATTATGCCATTTGTTTCTCTCGCTTTTCTCCAAGTGCACAGTGGGAATAGTCCTTAAACGATTCGCGGGAAATTTATAACTACTTGGGGACTGGCACAATGAGCTGGAATTTAAGGAAGTTCGTTAAGAAAACGAGAGTTCATAAGGACAAGCATTTTTTATGAGTTATGAACTCTAAAAAAGTAAATAAATGAATTTATAATGTTCATATATCGACGGTAATTATTTTATTTAAAACGAGTAGCATTTTTTTGACAAATCAAAGTTTTAAAAAGCCATAACTAAGTCGAAAATGTATTAATATCAATTCTAAAAGCTTTTTATGTTATTTTTTAATAGGTTATTCAATTTGCATACTTAATTACCCATCTGGAAAAATGCTAATTTTTTGTCAATTTAAATATTTAAAAAAATGTAATAAAATGTTTTTTTTTTTGACATGGCTAAAAAAATTGCCTATTGATGCTGGTAAAAAATTAATTAAGTACAACAAAATAATTATAAATATTTGTTGGCACTAAAAATGTATAAATGTATACAACAAAAAATATAATTCGACTATTTTTTTTTTATACATTTCAACATTTTATTTTTAAACTTCAGTTCCATAGTCCTCATTTTACCCCCTTCTAAAATGGTTTGCCATTTGTGTTTCAGCTGCGTTTTGCACTCTTTTTGCACACTCGGGAGGTCCTCTCCTCGGTGTCCTCGGCGTTAATAAAGTCGCCTACTTAAAGCGTACGACAATGACATTGTGCGTATGTTGCCAGTCTGCGGGGGTCGCCGTCGCCCCTTTGGCCATGTGTCACACATCCGCATCCGGTGTTGGCATTGGCATTAGGCTGCTCTCCTCCCCCGCACTACACTTTTAGCCTCTTTCTCGTTTGTCGTTTCCGGCATGCGACTCTTTTATACCGCCACTTTTATTTGCTCTGTGCACTTTTCTGGTCCTGATAGTGGTCCTCCTGCCTGCCTACGCCCGTGTCTTGCCTGATTTTTGTTTCTTATTTTGCTCGACGGCCTTATGCACTGAGAGACTTCCACCGTTTAGCTTTAAGTGTGTGGCAAGTGCCATAAATTTCACTTTGTCAGGGTCTTTAATCGCCCAAGTCCCAATCAGGCCAGTCATTGTGTGGGGCTTGAATAGAATTGTGCCAGTTAAGGTATCATAAATGCCGGAAAACAAGTGTCTAGTTCATATGGGGGAACTTTAAGTTAAATGAAAAAGGTTTTTTATTATTATAGAATAGTATTACTTTTGCTTAAAGTTAGTCTCTTATTTGGCTTATCATATTCCTTAATATAATGATTCGTTGTTCTGCCCAGTTCGTGTTTATGAAGTGCTAATTTGCTGTAGTACCTGCATAAAGAATGACAGCCTAAGTTGCCAAAATGTTTGAATTAATCACACATTTGTCAAAATTATTCAAATGTCTTTTGAGACACACAGAGTGGGTATATGAGAGCGAGAACGAGTGCGAGTCCCAGTGAGTGTGTGCGAACATGAATAGTTAATACAAATGCTCGGGCCTGCGGTTGCTCCAGTCTGTGCCGCCTCCTCAGTTTATTTTTTTTTGTATTATTTTGTGGGGAATACAGACTGGCGGCAGTGTATGTGTCGGGGTAATAAAGCTAATGAGTTTCTGGCATGTCTGGCAGAGTGTCGAGACTGAGAGGCTAATTCCCAGCCAGCGAGCAGAACATGCATTCGCATTCGCATTTGCTGGCTTGTTGCCATTAAGAATGGTTTTATTTCACAGGATTATGGCGTTCTGTTGTTACGTATATTATTTCTCACATCTCTAGTATTTGCTATATTTGTAGGGTGAACTTTTCCCCCTCTGCAGTAGGAGCATCTGATATTACTAATACGCCCCAGTGGCACAGCCGCATATTGCGTATACGCAGGGTGTCAAGCAGAGAAATTGTTTTAAATCGACACCCAGACGCACACAGACAATTAAGCAGAACTTCATCTGCATCAGATTTGCGTAAATGTTTCATAAATGCAAGAGAAAAGCAACGCATTTAATGTGTTTCTCCATTTAAGTTTTTAATTACACTTAACTGTAACAGCAACGGGAATGGAAATATACAAAACGCGGTGAAGAAGGAGGCTTAATAGCCGGCGCGCCATTTTGTCGCCGGCATCGTCGCTTAATCCTTGCGCGGCATATTTTCCAACGTGGTGGCTCGGTGGCTTAATGAGGCGCATTTCCATGCCGAGCACGCAGCTTCCACGCTCGATGCCAAACAAAGCAGCGGCATCCTTCCGGGAAAAATGCGACTCTAAGCCAACACAGCCGCACTCAGTCTTATCAGTTGCATTTACGGTGGCGCAGGCATAAATGTTGAATAGCATTTAAGGTGCTTAATGGCTTCAGAACTTGTAGCAGAATGATGAAAATTTAATTTTCCAACAGGAAATTAATTTTGTTTCCGTTTCGGAAAGTGTTTACATCTGCAAATGATTTGTTATTAAAAATAGTAAACAATAAAGGCAGGAAATATTGTATTTATTTGTCAGAGATATTTCAAGAACATTTTATTTAGAAATTACCAGCTTAATCTTCAAACAAACTTTGGCTATGATGATATGAACCGTTAAATGTTTATGAATGGAAATTAATTTGATTATTGCAAATTCTCTTCTTATTGAAATGTTTTTCCTTGGAATGTATTCAGGACTGTGCTTGTATTGGTAAATTGAGCGTCTTGACTGACACAAATCAAACAGATATTGTAGCCTTGCAGCTTCATCTTCGTCCTTGCCGATGGTTCTACTACTATGTAAAGCAAACAATTTACCTTCGGTCTTAGCCTGTGTATTACGAGTATTTGTTTGCTCAGCTTTCCTGCGCTGGCTTTCCGACTTTTCCGCTGCAGCAGCGGTTGCAGCTGCTGCTTCAGTTGTTTTCCTTTTAATATAATTTCATCGTTTTATGCAGAACTTATTATACTAGAGGAATTTGTTCCTAGGCAACTTGAGCTTTTCCCTGTCCAGTGGCCACTTTTCGCGCAATAGACTCTCCTTCTCAGCTGCACCAAGAGTTGAATTTAATTTCATTTCGCTTGACTTCAGCTCGACTCTTGTTGACTGCTCTTGTTTATTTGAGTGGGTTAGGGGGTGAGAGCCCGATCCGGACAAGGACCGAGTGGCTACAAGCTTGTGGGCACGTGGCAGCCAATTCAGCCGCTCAAAGCCAAATGAAGTGTTAACACCGAAAATGCCGAGAGCGGTGGCCAACTGTCGCATCCGCATCCGGTGCGATTGTTGGCTCCTCTGTGAGATTTGCTGGGAGGCAACGAAAAAAGCTACAGAAAAAACGAAGCTGAAAATCGATGGCATGCAAACTAAAATCCCCAACGGAATCTATCAGGGGCGGAAATCGGCGGCGCCACCCCGAAATGTTTTTACCCGAGGGGCCGGAAAGGCGTGTCAACGCTTTCCGGTCTCTCACAGAACTATATGGGCAATTTCAATGCAAATTCCACTTAATATTTGTCACGCTTTTTGCAGATGCTGAGCGTAGTCCACGTGATGTGATTGGGATCCAGCGACGCTTGTCGCGATAGCAGACACTCTCTGACCTCTGACCTTACCATACCGATGAGCCATGTCCGATTGAATGTGGCAAAGACCAAAACCACAGGCAGCACCGCAGCAGCAGCAACAACAGCAAGAGCAACAGCAACTGCAACAGCAGCAACAGCAGCAACAGCAGCAGCAGCAGAAACAGGAGCAACATGTTGACGACCCACCATCTGCACCACCTGCACCACCATCGCGGCAGTACGGCTGTGGAGCTGGACAAGATCACCAACCTGAATACGGTGAGTGTTAGGGGATTTATAAATAATTTATTAGTTTTATTAAATAATAAATCTTTGGCTCTTAAAGCATTTTCCCGGATTTCCTTGATTTCTAACAAACTCTCTTTTAATCACAGAAAGGAAAATCAAACAGATTTTCTTGGCATCTCGGATATTCAATAATTTTCTCTTCTTGACTCACTTTATGGCTTTCTACTTAAATATGCAGCTTATTGCATTCAAGCGAAACTTGAAGCTTGTTTTCCAACTTGCCAAACCTCAAACGATTTCCAAATTGCGTTTTCCATTTCCCAGAATTCTTTTGCTGTCCTTGTGAGCTTTCAGGAAAAGTGTCGAGTTTGTCTATCGGAATTTAAATGCAAGCACTAATGAATTTCAATTCCAATTTGCAAAGTTAAATCCTTTGGAAAATGGCGAAAAGGAGCTTAAGACTGGCGCCTTAAAGTATACAGCTGTGGGTCAGGGCCTTCAATTAAGATTTTTTCTTGCAGTGAGCTACATCCGTTCCAGGAAATAAACAATAACAATATTGAGTGGAGAACAAGCTTTCCCTCGGCATATGCCATATAGAATGAAGTTAAAAGCAGAGGGAAATTATTGAAAGGATTCTATTGAGTGCAAGAGGACCTCTACCCCACTTTTAGTTCAAACTCTGTCCGGTTCTCTTGTTCACCAAAGTTGTCTAGCTGAAAAATGAAAAATGTTGCTGTAAAAAAAAAAGAGAAAATGGTAGGAAAAACGGAGGGCGGACTCGGCAGCGAAAAGGAAAATGTGAAACACGTTTATTGCCATTCATTATATTCTCGCGAGCTGTTGCGCAAAGTAATGAAGCTCTTTTATACGAGGCAGCTCTCTCCTTTCACAGTGCACGCATAGAGTCACGCCCACCCCCGACTACGCCCAGGGCACTGGAAGAAAATGCGGAGATTATATGAAACTTATAAGGAATTTTGAAAGCCTCTTTAATGAGTTTTAAACATAAGATAGTTGGAATGAAGCATTTTACCATTAGTTTTGAGATTGGTTTATTAAAAAATATATTTTTTAATTTGCAGTTTCTCTTCAAGCATTTTGCTCTGTGTTCCAACATGTTTTTGCTTAAAAAAAAAGAAAAACCAACACTCGAGAAGGGGGAGAGTGACTGGCGTTGATGAGAGAACCCGGCCCCAGGCTCCCGGTTTTTGGTTCAAGAAAAATGGCTCGCTGTCTTGGACTCGAGTGGAAATAATAATTTCGGCAATGGCCACTGCAGTTTTCCAAGGAGGGAAAACTACAACCAATTTTCATTAAATGAGGCACTCCCACTGCCCCCACACTCTCGGAACAGCCGCCAATACATCTTCATTAATTTTGGAATAATGCATGGCATGTTTGTGTAGACGCTTAGTCGACCCTGCCCTGTCATTGGGGCTGCTCCGCTGTGCGGTCCTTGGCCGCAGGACCTCAATAAAAAACTAAAAACTTGTGCTTAACTTTAGCGGCGAACATTTGTCTCTCCTGTCCGAGGGCGTGAGTGAGTGAGAGTGAGGAGGACAAAGGAATTTTTGGGGTAGAAAGTTGCGCAATAAAAAGCGTGGCCTAAACAAAGGATCGTGTTCAAGGACAAGGATTCTCCGCTTGTGTCACTCTCAATATAGTGGCAAGGTATCCGTCGATTGTCAGTCAGCTTGATTGATAATGTAAACCGAGAGCAGCTCAGCACACACACACACCATACACACTCCTCCCATTGCCATAATCGCCGGCCATTCAGACCACTAAAGGCCCATAGTGGCCCTCTCCTCGTCAAAGAGCAAATAAAAGCCCGTCTTGTCCTGATAGGCGGGCATCTTATCGATTTTACGGATTACAAGTTTTTGTTATCACTTACGCAAATGGCCCGAAAGGTCTGTGCGATTGCCGCCAAGATGGGGTTGTTTTTGGTATTAAGGGAAGGAAAAGGTTTTGTTAAAGACTTGAACTAAAATTTGGATTTCTTAAGTAGAAAATAGTGGTTAGGCTTCTAGCAAACTTGATCAGTTTCCTGTAGTTCTTCCTGGTTAGAAATTATTACTAATATCTACTATTACCTACAATTTAATGACCAAAAGTATATAAGAGTAAGGTATATATAATTTTTTTTCAAGATTTTACCATTCATTCAAAAACCAACCCAACCATTTGTGTTGCATGTGATCTAACAAAGGACGTCCATGTCAAATTGCTTTCTGCGGCATCTGGAGTCGTGGCCGTGGTCAAGGGGGGGCTTTCATCACCGTCGCTTTGCCGCAGCTGCGATTCGATGGTTGTTCTAGGCACTTCCCTTCTTTTATTGTTGCTGCCGGCCAAGTGGGGCTTTGTGGCTCACACCAACGCCTCCGTGCGCGTACACACGCACACACTAAACCTTCATCGATATTGGCAGTGTGTTGTTGCACAGCAGCTGCATTGTGTGATGTGCTGTTGCTGACTCCTGTTGCAAGCTGTTAGATCACGGAGAGAAATAGAGCAATTTTAGAAAGAAGGTTGAGAATATATACCTATATATAAAATTATATTTATTTACACAATTACTCTCGGTTTTTAAAGCATTTAATTAATTTTTTTGTAATTTTCCGTAGTCCTCAAAATATTTCAAAATTTTCCAAGGTTATTTAAACCAAATTTCCTCAAGTACACACCCATTTTCCTTAGTGCAAACCGATTTCAAAACGCTGTCTGACATTTATACACTGTAACGAACCTTTGTTTGGCCTGAAGGGAGGAGCTAGAGCTCGACCTGTCGACAAGCGATGGGCGAATGCCTGTCGACTGTGGAATGGACTGTTGGCTAGTTGGTTGCATCCTGGCCTCCAGCCCACCAGTTCGATGGTAATTATTCTACAGTTCAACTTGTTGGTTCGCTGGCTAATGCGTTTTGCCATTGCACTTTTGTCCTGGTAATTGCCACGGCTTTGTTGAAAGATGTGGATGTGCAAAGCGCATTATCTGAGTTTTTTGCAGCTCACGTCCTTAATGGAGCGTGATATTTATTAGCTGACCGCTGAGATCTGCAGACAAGAGCACTTTTATCATCTTGGTCATTTATTAGTGGTTTCATGTTTCAAGGACCAAAAGGACACGTAGTGTGTAATGGCAGCTTTGTAATTTGTTAAGTCTCTTTCTGTTGTTCATGCCACGCACTGTGTACGCCTTGGACATTGTGAATTCATGGCCCTGGGCAAAATTGTATTCTAAAATGCATCCAAAGGACTCGCATACACTCGGTAAACACACACAATCTGCTCATTACAAACGCTGTCTGTCTTTGTCTTTGCCGGTTCCCCTTTTTGTATTGCAATTTTAATTTCCGCTTTCACTTTGTCTAGATTCAGTTCTACTTGTCGTCGCCGTTTTCTTTTGTATGTTAGTTTTCCTCCCCCCTGTTTTCTCTACCCTATTTTCACTCATCTCATTCCATTTCATTTTGCCCCCATCTTATCCCATCTCCTCCCCGCGGGCTTCTTTGTCTTCTTCTTGGCGTTGTGGCATTTGCGTTTTTGCTGATTTACACATTTGGCCAACTGCTGGAGGAGCAGTAGGAGAACGAGGAGGAGCTGCCAGCGTCGTGAGTTTTTCTTGCAACAACCGGAGCACGTATGTAAATGCAGAGAACAAAATTTAGTAATATATTTTTGGATTTATTAAAAAGGGAAATTTGAATACTTCAGACAAGGATAATAAGAAATGAGGATTTATTATATATTTGTATATATAAAATAAATTATTTCTAGATGATCATCAACAGCCGAATCGATTTAGCTATGTGGATCTGTCCTAGGAATTATTGCTTGTTATTATTGTTGTGAAAAGTACAGAAGTATTTATGTATCTTTTCTGTCATCTTTAGTATGTCTGTCTGTATAAATACCTCCATTTGTAATATTATTACATATAGGCATCTATCTTTTACTTTACTGTTAAATAATTTGTATACCAATTTAAATTTTAAAATTTTATTTTTAGTAAATTTAATGCTTTGTAATTTTTTCAGTGCATTTAACATATGGCATCAAGCACGTTGCTTTTGTTGCATAAATTCACAGCGGGCCAGCGCCGGCAGCTGTTTTTCAATTTTTCGCCTCAACTGTTGACGCAAAAGTAGTTCAAAGTGGTTCCTTGCCAGCCAAAGAATAATAAAACAACATTTCTTCCCTTCCCATGTCCAGTGCCAGTTTCGCATGAATATGCATGCCCCGAAAAGGGGGGATTCCCCGTACCACTACAGCCTTTATTATTCCACACATGTGTAGCAGCACACTTTTTAGCCGGTGTTGGTGCCATTAAGCTCTGCTCTCATTACTGACCAAGAACGCCGGGGGAATTGAATATACCTCAGCTTTGTATAAATGAAATTCTGTGTGTGGTGGTGTGCTTGCGAGTGTGTTTGTGTGTGTGGTCAGGTAATTTCAGAAATGTACTCGGATTTTTTTCCGCATTTGTATTATTTTTGCTGGGGTTTTTGCGCTGGGACTTGACTCTCTGGTTTAGCACTGGCTCTTATGGCTCTCGGCTGTCCCTTTTTATGCCAGCCCAAGGACCTTTGCCCCGCAGGACGAAGACGACAGGCGTTTACATTTGGGATTTGCATGTGCTGCAGGAACTTTTGCAATGCCAGCTACTGCCGGCTATGTGTCCTTCTATCAGCCGAGATTTAAGCGTCATATAAAATTTATGCGTGTGGCTTTTATGAGCTTATACTTGCGTGTGTGTGTGTGTGCGAGTGTGGCAGTGCTATGTTTTATGGGAGACATTGTCCTTGGTGGGCAGGTAAAAAAAATCTCAAATAATTAGGTAGCAGCAGAGACTGGATTTTTGTGAGGTCCCTAAACGGCAATGTCTTATTAAAGTATTTAATGAAACATTTTAGGGCTCATATATCCGAGCGAGATTGTAGCTTCAATGAAGATACCTAAATTAAGAAATTTAGTAAATATACAAAGGCTTAATAAGTACATACAAAAATATATATAACTTTAGAAACTTTCTCAGAATTTTTTACTACAATCTTTATATAAATATCAAAATGATTTATTTCCTTCTAGATTTTACCTAATCACATTTTTTTTATCTTTTCACAACCCCTTTGAAGATTCCCCCGCTGTCAGAAGAATTTGAATTTTTTATTTAAAATCAAATCCACATTCCGCATCGGTGTTCCCTTGTCAATATCAAAGCCTGGGCGAAGAAAAACAATGAATCCAATATATATTTTTGGGGCACAGCCAGTCGGCGGGGGCAACAGCTGATGGCGCAAAAGTTTTGGTAGGCTAGGCCCACTCGCTCTCGGGGAAATGATTACAAAACCATGACTCCGCCCACCCGGAATGGGAGCAAAGTTTTTGGGATATATCCTGCTCGGCAGCAGCACTTTCAATAAGCAATTTGGCTAAGTGCTCCTGCCCTCTTTGTTCTCCGAGGGCCGCCTCCTCCAGTGTCTGTGGCATTGTCAAGCCAATGCCATCAATATGACTAATCATGCATATATTTCATAAAGCTGTAAATCCCAATCCTCCCCAGCCTCCCCTTTTGCACAGCTGTCGGCCCCAAAATTGAGTCAAGCCACAAAATTCACTTTGCATTCGCCAGGGGCGTTTCAGACTTTCGAGGATTATTAAAATTACGCATACGCCGCGTTTTAAATGAAGTGTGCGCGAGGCGATGGAGGGGAATGTGAAGGGAAATGAGGCTGCCAGAGTCAACCATTAATATTTAAACGTGCCGCCCCTCTTCGAAATGTGTGTGGGGGCGTGGCACAGCACGCATGTGTGTGTGTGGGAGAGTAATGCGGAAAATTAAGCTTATGACTGACTGTAAAATTAACTTGGCGGAGGTGGTAAAATAAAAACAAAATTTAATTAAAAATAGCGCAGAAATAGGAAGGCTTATGTTAGCTATAGAAAAGCCATAGTCTGGCAAATATAAATTAATTATTAGATTTATAAGAAGTACTTTTGTGTAGAGAATTAAGTTGCTTAATTAAGGTGTTATTTCAGGAAGGTTATTAATTGTTTTAAGCTGCAAAGAAGTGGCTCAAATGGACTTAAAATGCTTCAGATCACTTAAACAAAAGTATTCTAATTAAGTTTTAAAGTATTACTTTAATATAAATTCCATCTTAAATACTGCCAGCAAGCATTCTTTGAAAACTTACCAAATTTCCTTTATACCCAGCAGCCATAAAATTAACTTAAAGCCCAGAATATGGAATGTAGTCAATAATAATTGACTTAATATACTTTTCAGCAACAGCTTGACCCTTCTAACCAACCCAAAAGCCATAAAATTGGGCTCGAATAATCCTTTGCATTTCAGGCATTTTAATTTTTATGAGCCTGATTCGGCCGCAGGCGAAGGCCGAGAGCACCAGCAGCATTGGCTAAGGAATTAGGCCTCGATTGCTCGATTCATTTGCCGCCTCTGTTGTGGCAATGAGCCGTAGTAACATAATGGCAGGACTCTTGTCCTTATCTGGCTGGTGGAGAAAATTCCCAGAAATTTTGCTGGGTGAACGAGCCGACGAGCGGCTGGGCAAACAACATATATTTGGTTGCCTGCGGTCCTCGGAGAGGGTTGTGCATAAATTAAAATACGAAATGTGCTATGTGCGGGCCTAATAGAGCTTTCGCATAAATTAGGCATCAGTTGCCGCCAATGACCCGCTGTCTAGATATATTTATATACCTATATTATATAGCCGTCTTGTCTGCCGTTTTTGTGTGTTTGCAGCTCATCATGGAGATCAACAGCCACGTGGCACTCTTCCGCGACATGCTGATACACGTGGGCCAGGCCAAGGATTGCCCCGAGCTGCGCGAGAAGATCCGCAAGCTGCGACGCACCTGCGTGGAGGCATTCAAGCACACCGCCCAAATACTGATGCCCCAGGTCAAGAGGTAAGCGAATGCCAGCTTTTTATACTTTACCACAAAAAGAGTACAGTGAGAAAAAAAGCCATATCATATTGTTTTGTGTTTTGCTTTCAAAGTACAATTTTAAATGTATATAAACATAATTGTACAAATTTTATGATTCGTTTTACTGATTTAATAATGCCGCAAGAAACGTCGATAGTCGCCAGAAAACAGAGATGTTTTAAAAAAGTTTTAAAAATCAAAGCAATCATATTTCTCCACTTCTATTTTTACTTCATCCCTAAGCCAAATATATATTTTCAAATTTAATACAGGTCCAGATTCCTAAAAAAATACAATTTAATTATTAAATATATATTATTTAATCATGAGGAATTTTCAGCTCTCACTTTTTCTTCCCTTTTTTCGTTCAGTGCACCTAAACGAAAGACCCCAAAGGGATAGATAGCATTAACATAAACATAAACAGCAACGTGTGTGTGACATTCGGGGCACTTCCTTTATGTGTCCGTGTCCCTTTTGGGCGCGTGTGAGTGAGGATTCGAGCAAGGATGTGAATGAGAGGGCGGAGGAGTGTCTTATGGAAATGTATGCAAATCTAATTGCAGTCAAATTTGGTCGAGAAAAGCGAGAGTGGAAGGGATAACATAAATAACAATTTGTTGGACTCGGATTGAGGACCCTTGGAATGCTCTCTCGCTTGCTCCTCCCAAAATGAGTTAGTGGCAGAGTTTGAAATTCAATTTCAAAGTGCTGCATAATTTATCAGAACAAACTCTCAGGCTCCCCAAAAAAAAAAGTTAATAACATTCGTTTTTTTTTATGTTTTGAGCTGCCTCGGGGGCGCACACAGCATATTTGGTAATTTTTTTTCATTAAACCTTGTTGTGCTCGGCTTTTGTTTCTCTCGATGGAAAGTTTGAATGTGGTTAAAAATCGTTTTGTTTGGCAAATGAACGGAATGGTAAATGTGGCACTCGCCATCAATGTGATATGGATTTACTCTAGAGAGAGCTTCAGACCGGGTGTCAGCTGGAAAGGCGCAAAAACTTTAACGCCTGTGTGTCGTTGTCTCTGCTTACCGACTTCAATTTATTGATTTATGCCCGGACCGAGGAGCCGAGATGGAATCCCCTGTGGATGCCACACATGTGCCATTATCGCATCCCGACAACACCAACAAAGTTTATTTTCTTTTCTTTCTTTTTTTTTAACACACATCTTGAGGGGAAATTCATACACACAATACATAAAATATTTGTAATTTCAGACACACAACCAATAGAACGTGGCATTGAGGGTTTACACAAACAGAAAATATAAGTTTGCTTTTGAATTAATTTAAAGTAAAATAAAAATGCTTCCTGAGGATTAAAACTCAATGAATTTAAAATTACAGCTTTTTTGCTCTGTGTAACTGTCAAATTTGACTTCTTTTTGGTGGAACTTTTTAAGCACAACACGCTGGCATATGACAATGTGATTTATTATCGAGCAGACGCTTTAAATGTCACTCTGGAGTGGCGAAATGTCAATATAACGAGACGAGCATCCGCATCGGCATTTTTCCATATGTAACCCAGTGGCCAAAAGTGCAGGAAGAAAGCACAAGCAGAGAGCACAAACAGAAAGCAGACGAAAGGAAAAACCCAGGAGCAGAGACAGTTGAATTGATGATTGGCTGGCAGCAAGCCAGAGACAACGAGGAGATTTCAATTAATTTTTGCTTTATTGACACAAATGAACGACTCGACGAGCAGCTTTACGTTCTCTCAGGTTTCACCCTCTCCCCATTTCCACAGGCTCCGCTTTCAAATGGGCGCACATGGCGTATGAGTGACGACAATGAATTAGCGAAGCGACAGTCGGCAAACGCAAAATCGGAGCTTGGCTCCAGGACTCAAAGTTAAATTGAAAGTAAAAGTTCAATAAAGCAAAAAGTATGCTCGGAAAATGAACAAAGCCGGTCTGAAGAAGGAAAAGTCTGGGGGAAAAACTTTGGGCGCAACTTGACAATGACAGAGCCAAACTTTCTGACAGTGTTTCGTTGTTTGTTGCTGTTTTATGTTTTGTAAACACATGCATGACCCCATGTGAGACAGCCAAAGTCACAAACAACTCGATACAGCACTGAGGAATTGCAGGAAAAAGCCAAGGAAAAACGGTGGAAAACCGTAGGCAAGCAGACTGAAAAAGCTAAAGGAATACTGGCTTAAATTTGAAGAATATTGCATACTCTGAGGAGGCAGCAGACAAGAAGAAAAGAAGCTGAAATATTAGTCAAAGTGCTTAAAAAGAATTAAAATTGCAAAAATAATAAAAGGCCAACTTTTTAGATGGCCAAGTTTTAATGTATTCTTAGATTTATTTTAAGAAGCTTGCATTTTGAGATATAAGAGAATTTTTATTTATATATTTTTTTAAGACTTAAATATACATTAATTAACTATATATACATTCCAGTGAACTTTTTGATATATTTTCTGTTTATGTTAGATCACCACAAACTAAACATTTCATAATAACAACTCAAACATGGCCCACAAAGTTCACTTTAAGCATAAATAGAAACGAACATTTAGCTTTCACTTTTGTGGTTTCATTGGCCAAACAAGACGACAAAGTTGTGATACCTGATGATGGGGCCTCCAAGGCAAGCAAGTGGTTTTCCCTGTCAGAAAGTGGGGAAAAATCACCCCAAAACCCTAGACGAAACCACCTTGGAATAGACACTCTTGCAGTCTACCCCGAGTCATGCCCATTTCCATTTCCATTTTCCACCTCCATCTCCACTCCCACTCCTGGATGGCGGCAGCACTTTGCCAACTGCCTTGAGTGATTGATAGTTGTTTGCCTGTTTGTTTGTCCGACGACTCGCACTTACACACGAATGCACTGAGGAAAAAAACGTAAGCATTTATTAATTTCAGAAGTATTAAAATATATATTAAAAATGTTAAGTACATTTTATAGTGGATTTTTTCTTAAATATAATATCGAAACGAAGTTGTAGGTTTAAAAATCTATTTAAAAGCTAATTCTTTACTATTTAAAGCTTGAATCTGACCCACTTTCTTCTTCATTTTCCTCACAGTGCATGGTGTATATAGGACATATATCCTTGGAGGCGACGTTCGGTCCATTTCGCCGTGTTTGCGCCGTTGTGTTCATGTTATCTATCTGTCTATTTGCCTGCGCTTACTTCGCATTTGTTCTGCTGTTTGCCTTGTAGTTATGTGCAGTTGTTGTTTGTTGTTGCTAAATTACTGCCGCTGCCTTTGTTTTAGCTGCTCGGTGAGTCCGGTTCCTTCTGTTTTGACAGCGAGTTAGTCAACAGAGTCCTCGGGGGCTGGACTATGTCGCCACCAAACCCCCCTATATCATAACCATTTCCATTTCTGTCCCCTTCCACATCACGTTGACTTTAACGCATTTCCGCTGCAAATAAGACCAGGACTTCCATCGTCCTTCGCTGCATCGAAAACACAATCCGACAATTGCCCAGAGTCCGGTGGGAGAACATAACACAAGGAGTCCGACCTCCGGGGACAGCAGCGCCATCAAAGCCAAAGCCAATCTCCTAGACGTTGTCGATGGCGTTGACTTTGGCTATGTGTCGGAAATTTTATGTTTCCTGCAACTGTTGTTGTCAATGCACTGTGGAAAAATGTTTAATAATATTTAAGGCATTGATTATATACTGCGGTATATTTTTAAAATTTATTTAAATTGACTTTAAAGATATTGAAAGAAATTTTCCATAAATTATTTTACAAAAAGAACCTAGAACAACTTAAGTTACATTAATATTGATCTTAAATTCCCTTAGGATTGTAAATTATTTGATATATTATTTATAAATTAATTATTCATAATTTTAACTTTATTATTTACCCCATTTCCTCTTCGCCTAGCCCATTGTCCCCTCGAAGCTGGTCCTGCTGGTGCATTGTTTTATTACCGCTGTCGGCTATTTCGTTTATTATTTCGACACTTGATGCCAAGCTCCTCTCTTAGCCGGATGCCAAGCTGTTCTGGCGATGTTCTGCGGTCATGTTAGTGAAAATGACAGCAAATTATGGAAGACAGCAGACAAGGGAACAGGCAGCTGGGAAGTGGGTAGAGTTACGCAATTAGGGAGAGCCCGTCACGTAGCTGCAGACGTTTTTTAGGCATTTTCCGTCTCGATAGCCGGTCGTAAACTGCGGCAATTTTAACAACTTTATACAGCTGCACTTAATAACTTCGATTGGGCCCTGGGTCCCAAACGCGTTTCTCCGCATATATTTTTGTACAATTTTTCTTTGCAACATTTCGTCGGATCTAGGGAGGGAATAAAAAATATATATTTCACTGTTATTTGCAATAAATGAATATAACGTCCGAACTGTAATCAAGACCAGCTGCTGACAATGGTCTGGCCATTTTTTCTCTCCTTTCTCCGGCTCCTGCTTGGGTCCGTTTGCCCTTCGCTCTTTATTTGCTGGCTATTCTCTTTTTTTCTTGGGGGGGTTTTCAGGATGCTTTGCAGATTTTGTTTCGCTGCCCGAAACTTATTATTGCGATTTTCTTGGTGTGGCGAAAATGACCCACGTTAATGTCCGCGCACCGCAATCAGCCATCAGAATGCGAGAGCTGCGAAATGAGGGAAGGAATAAAAAGGACTCGAGGAAATCGTTAAAACATTGCTCTCTGCCATTTACAACTTGCAGTTTTTACAAGGAAATCGCTTAGCATTAATTTGATTGCGATTTAAGCATTACATTATCTCGTTTCTCTTTGCTCTCTCTCTTATTAGTATATAAATGTTGATGTATGATAATAAAATATTAATATCTGTTTTGGATGAGGGCTTAATTGGTAGATCATGTTCTCCATTTATACATCTACTAAATATTTGGACATGTATTCCGTATAATTTGTATTCTAGAATATTAAACATTTCCATCACATTTAAAATGTATACAAATATTTCCCTCTTTGCACATGCTTTTGGGGATATTTTTCCACAGAAATAGGTACGCCAACTACGAATATCCTTACCCCCCGCAAACAATCCACTTTCGCAGGAGCAGGGAGCCCAAATCTAAATCGCTTTAAGCTGAATCTTTCACGGAATTCCTCACACATACTCACACCCTGCCATAGAATACACCTTGGGGGGAAGATTAATTTGCAATTTATTTGCTTTAATGCTTTTACCATGGCGGAGGAGGATGAAATCAGAAGACACGGCAACACTTTCAGGACCTTTCAGGACCTACGCTCCACTCCAGGAGTCGGGGGTTATTTTGCTAAAATATATATTTTTCATTTCCAGCTACGCAGAGTTTGGGCTATGCAAAAGCAATTTACAAATTGAATTTATTCCTGTGTAGCTGCAAATATGTTTATGGCAATTTATATTTGTGACCCACTCCAGGACCCCCGTTCATAATTGCTCCGTCTGTGTAGCTCCAGCTAAAACTGAAATTAATGTCAACTAAGCAGCAATTTGTGCTCAGGACCCACTGTAAATTCCGAGTGTTTTCTAAATGAATTATGCCACTGCGACTGTGACTGTTACAGAGCGCTTCGTGAAGTTACATAAATTATTTTCGTAATGGTAATTTAGTTGAATTAAAATGTCGTTTAGGCGTTGATCGTGGAATTAGAAATTCATTTCCCTTTGTGGAAAGTCACAGGGAAGTTAAAGTGAATAAAGCAATAAATTTAAGTCATTATTATAAGTAATTTATCAATAAAACCCTTAATTTCTAAGAAGAACTTTAGAGAAACGGTTCCAAAATTTATTTTAAATAAATTGTCACAATTCTGTGAGAGCTTTTACACTTCTCTAACATTTTTTGAACATATGCTCTTCATTTAAATATTTTCCGCGAATTAATTTAGTTAATGAAATGTACTTTTTTTAAACGTTTATAAAGTTTTAAGGGTTCAGACTCTCCCAACATTTTTAAAAATAATTTTTCACACTTCTATGAGAACTTTTACATTTATTTAACATTCACTGAACATCTGCTTTTAATTTTAATTTTTAATTTTTTCAGATTTCATTTATTAAAAAAAATTCACATTTTTAAACGTTTATAAAGTTTCGAGTGTTCTGACCTGCCAAGTGCATGCAAAAAGTGTTCCCTCGTCGATTTAATAGTTTGAAAAAAAATCAATTGTTGCTGCAGTAGGGCAGCTGAACCCAGATCGTGGAATTAGACCTTCGACACTTGGCCGGAAATGAATTAGTTTGTCGCCAGCTGATGACCCCCACCACATCTGACCCAAAAAACAAACAAAAAAAAAAGGAAATGTCATAAATTCATATAAATTTCATTTCACAATTTCCGCATGCAATTTGGCGTGCCACAAATGCGGCCCACACAATGCGGCATTCCAGTTCTATAATATCGCAGGCGCCCACACCCGGGAAACTGAATGAAAATCCGAATGTTCACGTTACCTTGCATTGCTTTCATAGCTTTTTCCCTTTTTTTTCCCTGTGCTCTTTGCAGCGCCATGGCCGATGGCATCCTCACCGACAACCCGCACTTGGTGCTGCTGTTCTACATGGCCCAGTTGTTCCTACGTGAACTTGTGAAAAGTTATCGCCTCATACAAGTCGTGCCAATGGATATGTCCGGCTATTATGGTAAGTTTAATTCAACCCCACGCACCCACGATTTACACCAGTCCGAGTTGGCAGCGAGCATGTTGCGGGTCATTGGGAATTTGCTGTTGCCAGCAAATGTCAAAGTCAGAAGGCGAGGACGAGGACTTTGGCTGAATGGAGTTCGGTTCGGTACACATAATTGGTTTAAACTGGCCAGAGTAATTGTGGTTGCAATCTATAGAAGCACTGGCTTTAAGAGAACATATTGGGGATATTTTAGATCTATATTAAAATTTAGTAAATATTTTTATAGCTAGCTGGCACTATACAATTATTTAATTTTTCTAAAGCAATCCCTCTTTCGAATTTTCTGCTTGGTAAGACAGTTTTTCTACCACAATTGCTTGTGACTCTTGACTTTAGTGGCACTTTGGCACAAATATTTCCCCCATTTTGGATGGCTCTTAACGGGTGTGGATGTTCCTTGACATCGGCATGCAAGGCAGGGACACTCAGGCATTTGCTCGATGCACGTTCAACAATTGTTTGTTTGGTTGCCGTTGCAGTGGCAGTTGTGGCTTTGATTGCCATTCTTTCGCCATGTTTAATGTGGACGTGCCAGTGCAAAAATATGCAGAGAGAGAGAGAGAGAGAGAAAGCCAAGCCTCGAACTGATTTGTCGCCGGGACTGACCATGGAATGGAAATCTGCCTGGCGAATGCAAATGCGAATGCCAAATGCCAATTGCTGATCATAAATTTATAAATTACAGCCACTGCACTGGCACTGGTTTCTCACTGTCAACACACACACACACACACCGGGAAATGGGGAAAATTGTGGGAAACTGTGGGAGTAAATATTTACAGAGCCACTGCCAGTGTCAGGCTCTGTTGGGCTTTCCGATGTGGCTTTTGCTGGTGGCGCAGCGAATTTATGACGCCCTCCGTCAGCCATGAAAACAAACAAAATTTCTGCAGTGCCATGAAAATGCCATCAACGCAGAATAAGCAATAAAAAATTCAAAAATTGAAAACGTTGTTTTTTCCCCTTCTGTCTATCTGTTGGTCGTTGTAATTGCTAACCAAAATGTACGGGGTGGAGGATTGAGTTAAGAGAGGATGTGCTTTAATTATTGCCATGCAAGCGAAATTTCATTGCATTCCAGAGTTTAAAAATCAAAGAGAGATAAGAGCATTTAATGCCCTAGGATATTGTTAGCTTAAAACTAAAATAAATAGAAACTTAAATAACAATTTAAAACTTACAATCAAGGTTTTTTATGGAAAAGTAAGAATTATAACTGGAGAAACTAAATAAATTGATTTAAAATAAAATTAAATACATTTTCCACCTATGCTTAGTATGATTAAATTAATTGTTAAAAGGAATTTAGTTTTACCTGAATAATTTATTTCCATTTATTTTATATAATTTATTTATAAAATAATTATGTAAATCTTCACTTATTTCTTAATTCCATTTCAGAACTGTATTTAAATTTTTAAAGTATTTCTCTATTCAACTTTAGAATTTTATTTAAATCTTTAAAATTAAACCCTTAAAGAAATACACCCCTTTACAATTTTATACCCATCATATAAATGGCCATCGATGAATGCTGGTCATGCATTCTTGTATACGCGATATTGTGATATATGAATATTGCGCATACGCCACCACGGCTGATCGAATAGATTGCAATGTTTTGATGCAACAGCTCTGCAAGTTTTTAGAAACGACAGCAACAATAAGTAATTAATGGGACTATAACGGATGATGATTAATAGCAGATCGAATATTGATGACTTTATCTATCAATCAAGGGGAAAATATATAAAAAAAAGGAAAAATATAAAAGAAATAAAGTTTTATAGAGAAATGTGTCAAGCTATGTATTAACTTTATGTATCTTTAAAAGCCCCCAATTTGTGGGTATTTTATTTATGCAGAGTAAAGCCAACATCAAAGCGTATTACAAATAAAATTAGTATCTTTTCCCCAACGAATGCCAAAGCTAATGAAGCAGCAGCAAAGCGGAAATAAATAAAAAAGTTGGAAAATGCAAACGTCAAAGGAAAATGTTTGCATTGAAATGAACGAAACAAATTAATACGGTTTGCTGTGGCGGCATCAGCAAAAGTCAAACAAAATGGTTTTGCTTTATTGCCAGACAGCGGCAGAAAAGCCCCACTGGGCTGCACTTTGGCCTATCTATTGACTCTGACCCATATCTTTTGCTCTATTTTTTTAGAGAACCGCGCCGGGCCCTCGAACCTGGGCAATGTCATCAGCCAGATTTTGTTGTGCAAACAGTTTACGCCCGACTTCAACGAGGAGGAATTATGCAGCATCACCAAAGACTCGCAGGATATAGCCGTGCTCCTTTCCGAGATGCAGGAGTATATGCCGCAGCACGAGGCATACTTGGGTGAGTTGGGTGCGGAGTGCGCAGGCTCCCGGTCTCATTGCCGCCGGAGCCTGCAGTTCCATTGCCATGCACTTTGATATTTGGCCAAGGCAAAGTCCGTGGGGCAAACCAAAAAGTATAGCATACAAAAAAGGGCACAACGACAGGCATTGCTAGAGGGAGTGCTAAAGGTGTACAGGGAGGAAGCTACACAAGTTTTATTTCGATGTAAAAATGAAGAAGGTATCCTTTGTTGCCCAGCATTTGTAATAAACATTTTGTTTTTATTTTTATAATAATTAATTACTTATAAAAGGAAGCTTTTAAAAATTTTTCTGTGTGTTTTTCGCACCTACTCTCGCTCTGTGCATCTCATTCATTAAATGTTTACTCTTCCCTCTGGTTTTTGCAGAACGCAACGCGGCACTGGACACAACCGGACCCTGGCAGGCCAAAAGGCGCCAGAACTACATATGCAAGAACATGAGCCTGCTCTGCTGCGTCTCCAGGCCCAACTATCTTTGAGAGCAGGCCGACAGTGTTTAGTCCGAGCCGAACTAAGCCCACTACTTATATCAATTACTAGCGCCTAAGGAGAAGCCACGAAGGAAGTCCTGAGTCCTTAGCCGAGGAGGAGGAGGAGCTCTCAATTAGCATGGGGACATAATCAAAGGTCGAGGCCAGGAATGCAAGGTTCTTCTTCTCCCAGAGACATGTGTATAATCAAAGTTAATTATGCTGCATATACAATATTAATGTAAAATCAATGGATATATACTATATATACTATATATATACACACCGATGTAGAGACGTTTAACTAAGGATGTTCACGGAGCAGTTAAGACTTTTTAGGCCAGTAAATCACAGTAGTCACTGTATAGACCCCAGCAACTACCAAAACATGCATACATTCATCCCGAGGTTATCTGAACACGATCCTAACCCTTGAGTTAACATTAAGATTAGGCAGGAGAGCAGAGGCGTCGGAGGCAGTTAGTTGTAGTCCAAGTAGCCTTCGTAATTAAGTTGAAAGCCTGGGCCCAGGCAAGTGTTAAATGAAAGCAATAACAAACAAGTTGTTAACTCATACTCTCACAGACAGAAGCATACACATAGCATATGTACAAATATATACTTAACCAAATAGAATCGTAATTGATGAGTGTCTCTAGGTTTCCGTTTGTTCATTTCACGGTTTTCAAAGTGAACTCTGCACAGTACCTAAAAGCCAGATAAAATAACACAGGAACACAAAATTAAACTTTGTGAAATTTCCACGAACCATTTCAAGTTTTCCATGATATTTGGGTGCTCCTGAGTAAAAGTCCCATACAAAATTATTTTCCATCACCTACAGGTTCCGCGGTATACCTAAGAATACAAAAAACCTATGTTTGCCGACATTTTGAATTACGTGGCCTATATAATTGGACTTACCTTTATTATTTTCGGTAGGACCTACTCTCAATACATCACGGCACTACTAAAAAATAGTCCCAATCGTGGACCATTGCCCATGTCTTTGGAATTCGACGCCAAAGTTGAAACTCCCAAAATTTTCAACATTTCTGTGATGAAAAAACAATTCTGAGAATTAAATCTTATATGGAACTAATTTTAAATATTAATTGAATCTATTGTTCATTGTATTCTTTAATTTCGGTTTAAAGCGTTTTCATGAGGACATTTTATTGGATTTATTAAACGAATAAAACCGCTTTTTTGGTTTTATTATCTACTCCTATTTGCTGTCAAATTTCAAATAAGTCAAGGCAACCTATAAAATAGTAGTAGATATGTATCTTTTTATATATAATATACATTTTTTCTTTTTGACTAAACTTAAATATGTAAGGATTATCGCTGGCTACTAAGCTGTCTTAAAAATGTTATGTTCGGAAGACCTTTTTATTTAATATAAAATTAAATGTATATTATATATAAAAAGATACATATCTACTACTATTTTATAGGTTGCCTTGACTTATTTGAAATTTGACAGCAAATAGGAGTAGATAATAAAACCAAAAAAGCGGTTTTATTCGTTTAATAAATCCAATAAAATGTCCTCATGAAAACGCTTTAAACCGAAATTAAAGAATACAATGAACAATAGATTCAATTAATATTTAAAATTAGTTCCATATAAGATTTAATTCTCAGAATTGTTTTTTCATCACAGAAATGTTGAATATTTTGGGAGTTTCAACTTTGGCGTCGAATTCCAAAGACATGGGCAATGGTCCACGATTGGGACTATTTTTTAGTAGTGCCGTGATGTATTGAGAGTAGGTCCTACCGAAAATAATAAAGGTAAGTCCAATTATATAGGCCACGTAATTCAAAAATGTCGGCAAACATCGGTTTTTTGTATTCTTAGGTATACCGCGGAACCTGTAGGTGATGGAAAATAATTTTGTATGGGACTTTTACTCAGGAGCACCCAAATATCATGGAAAACTTGAAATGGTTCGTGGAAATTTTTGGCTGTGTACCTGTGTAATCGACAAACAAACGAGCAACATGTGACCAATAAGAAATACAAATATTAAATCTGTTTAAAAAACAAGAAAAATAACCCGTTTACGAAATATAAATAATTATAAGTTCAGCAGAATCTTATTTAATATTAAAGAAACTTTGTTTAGCGAATAGCTTTTGTCTTTTATAAGTTAGAATTAATCACACATAGAGTTCAGGCAAGTAGTTACCGAAAATAATTGACCAAAAATGACTCCACTTAAGCTAATTGAAGCTACTTTAATTTTTCCTGGTAAAATATTCACCCAAAGCTGCTTATTTAATTTTATTTAATTGCAAACATGAATAAGTATGTTTTTAGCGGATTTCAAGGACATTGAAATGGCATTATAACCATGAAAATTTAATTTTTATATATGCTTTTAAAGGTCTTATTGAAAATTCATAAGCTGTTGCTGTTTTAAAATGAAAACAAATTCTCAATTGGATGCATATTTCATTCAGAGTGCACGTACCTTTTGTTTTTCGCATACTTAATGACAATTAATGGCACGATATATATACGAAAATATAATTTTTTTTGTTCGCCTGCAGCAGGCACAATTTATTTAACATTGTAAATCAATTTGTAGTGCAAACAGCAATTGTATGGACCGCTGAAATGACAATGAAATTGTAAAAATCTGTAAGGACATCCGAAAAACACAATGGGACAAGTGCTTGGCAAATGTTTGAACATTCTGCGAGCCCAACAGTGGATATATATTTACTTGAAAATAGGACAAAGTAACGAGAAGTCTCTCATTAATAGCGAAACGTAGTGCAGATTATTTATTTATTAACTCGATTCTAGGGATAAATCAAACACCAAACAAATTTACACGTCTTAAGAGGAGGATAGGACGACATAATGTTTATAATATTGATAATTATTTAACTGTATATGAATGTAAATTGCTTAGATCGTTTCAAGTATAAGTATTCCATCAACCAATCGTGATTGTTATATGACATTCATATAAGAATTATCTGAGTGTATTTATTAAATGTTTGTTCATGTTGTTTGCAACTAAATGCCACTGAGAAGTAACTCAAAAAATCACACACACTAGCAACAAGTAAACTAAAACTACAACTAAAACACGAACCGAAACCAATTACCAAACTGGGTACCAATCAAATATGAATAAAGCTATTTTTAGAGAAACTAAACTTGCCACAGCTTGCCTTTATTTTCTCTGGAAAGGCTGGAAGACTTTAAGCATTGAGAAAAGGTCGCAGGGCGTTAAATTCCATCTGAACGTGTAACGCAAAATTTATTACACTTCATAAAAGAGCGATTAATGTTTATAGATGTGATTTTATCACGAACACCCGAGCCACGATACCAACACATCTGTATGTATGGCGGCAAAAAAATGGCATCAAGATGGTGGGTTACGATTGGGTTGAGTCCTCGAAGAGTTGCTACCCAGGACGAGCCTTAAATATAAGCGATACTAAAAGGAATCGTTAAGATGAGCCTTTAAACTTTTCCGTTTTTATTTTATAATTTACATCAAGGATACGTATTGGAAACTATAATAATGTTGACTCCTTTTAATACCCTCTTATAAACCTCGTAAGCTCCTCAACATACCCCTTAACTTACTGTATAAAATGGCTGGCTTACGGCACTTGAGGAGGTGCCCGTCTACGTGCCAAGGCATTAAGGACAAGCCAACGTGTTCGACAATAGATACGTCTTAATCAATCTTAAACGGATGCCAAGTAGATGCGAACAGGACCAGGATCTATCCTGGCAGCTTGTTTACTTTAAACGCACCATCTGACAGCAGCGGAAAGCGTTAGCTTAGACTTGGCTTAAAAGTTGCAGCCACGACGACACACACACACACACACGCAGGCCCAATGCAAATTGCATGGTCACGTAGGTTCGGGAGAACCCTATGTAAATTAGTTGGAAAGTTACAGCAGCGATTGCCTTTTGATGTGGTAACCTGCCGCCGAATCGGGGGCAGTGGAAGTGGCAGCCAGAAGGGGCGAAATCCTTCGGCGAGTACGTGCCATTTTGGCCAAAATGCTTAATTTACCGCATACACAGGCATACGCACAGCACGCACAACTCGACACCTTCCTCGATGACATTGACTGTGGTTGTGTCCTGGCTGTACCGCCTCTCTCCTCTCTCTTGCTGTAGAGCGCGCTTATCCTTCAGTCGAACGTGAGGTGTTAATCGATTTACGTGGCATGAGGCCTTTGGTTGAGCAATGTACTTGCCGCATTGAAATGCGTACTCCAGACAGTGCGGAGGGAGAAAAGGATATATAAATCAAAGATCAAGGCCACCATAAATAAATACTTTTCAAAAGAGTCCTTTAAACTCATGTATGTGCTTTATTCTCTCCTTAAAATAATCAAATCTAATTACAGATTACCATTAATAATGTTTAGTAAATATTAAATATTATTAGTAAATAATATTCATCTTAAAATTAAACCCAATTTAAATTATAAATAAATCATTTCCCTGCTAGTTTGCTTTTCTTTTCCCCACCAACACTTTTCTCCGAGTGTAAACTGCTAAATGACAATGGGACACGCATGCTCTGGCTGTGGCAGCACTCGCGGCTCATTATGCTCCACAAAACGTAAAACAGCCAAAAAAAGAGAAAAAAACGAAAAAAAAAGAATTTGCAATTCAAAGTAAACAAAAAGCAAGAACAACGGCAGCGAGAAGTTAAAACAGCAGGCGAGAGGACGGCGTCAAAAGTTGCCTAAGCAGAACGGAAGTTGACATTATTTTTATTTTCTCTCGTTTGTTTACTTAATACATATATATTTTGGCTTTCTTTTTGATGTGTGTGTGTGTGTGTTGTGGGAGCTGGAATGGAGTTGAGTGGCCAGCAAACAAGTTGCTCCCTGCGTGAGTCGGTGTGCGTCAAAGCCATGGCCAAAATAAATGCCAACAAGGATAATTCTGGGGTAATCCGATTTAGTGCGTTGCCCGCCGCTGGTGCTCCGGATCTAACAAAAAAAAACCCCCCTCTTGATTATGTGCTGCTGCCGCTGTATTGCTGCCCCTGCCTGCTGTGTCTCTCTGCTCCTGGCTTTTCAACGTTGTCCTGGTCAGTGTCCTGGGCACTTAAGTGCCAGCTGATGTTGGCTAGATGACTAGCAAATAGGTTTAAGCCACAGTGGGTTAAGGTAGGGCGACAAGGAGGATTTGGTACGAGGGTTTTTATTATTAATTATAATTTTAAATTATATAGTTTTGCAGTTTGGCATAAATTTGTTGTTATATGTTTTCAGGATATTAAAAATTCAGTTAAAAGCACTTTTAGCTTTAACAAAGTTACTTCAACAAATTTGTATGTAGTTTAAACGTCCTTACAATCCCACAAATTAAATACATTTTAATTAAATATTTCAGCAAACTTCCCTTACAACACTTTTAATAGCTTTCCACTAATTTTGCCCCACTGTACATGCTTCAGAGAGTGTTGTTTTGAGTGTGTATAGTAGTGTTTTTGCCTTTTTGCAACACACTCCTGACTTTTTAATGTTTTTTGATGCGTTTGGTGGTCGGCCAAATTGCCTGGGACTCTTTGTGTGTTGCCCTTTTTCCCTTACCATTTGTTTTTTTTTGTGCCCTTAAAAATTAAAAACATAATTTTCATGTTGCCAAACGCATTGTTGCTGCTTTTTGCATAATTGAATAACGTAGTCTGGGGGCGGGACAGGACTGACAATGTCGGGGACAGGACAGTCTAAGTT